TCTAACAAAACACAAATTACGTTATGTATTTTTTTCTTATTGTATGGAAATTATATTTATAATAAATGTTGAATTCAAAATGCTACATAGAGGTCCAGATCACAGATATTGAAGTGTTAGAATAAGGAAGTAAAAAATAAAAAAGGGTTTAATTTTTTACTTCTTTATTTTTACTAAACGGGTTTACATACATTTTTTCATTTCCAAACCGACATCAAAATGTGAAAGAGAAGTGGATTTCAGTCATTCCTAATAGTCGAAATTAACCTTCATGGAATCCAACTTCGCGCAACGTAGTTTGTTCGACTCATTTTAAGAGCGATGATATGTATTATACTATAAAAGGGTTACGTTGAATAAAGCAAAACTTATATCCAAAGGTTTCACACTTTCTATATATTAAAATTTTAGTTAACATAGTGGAAGTTTTGAAACTTAACTTAAAAATTAATTAAATAGTCTCTCTAATGTATGGCCTCCAATAATAATTACCTACTCGTAAAGATTTTAGAATATCTATGCTGATATTGACAAACGAATTTACATTATATTATTAAATAGCATAGCGTTAACGTTAACTCTATAACGTCGTAACGTTAAGTTATTGGGGTGTTTTTAATGACTATGGTCACACTGGCACGCATACTACAATCGCTAAAAATCGGCTTCACTTTGTTATTCAGCGAACTCCGTCTTTACTTTTTATTTGGTCTGAGAGCCGCAGTAGTAATAAAACTGAACCATAATATGAAAATCTCATTAAATCAAAATGTTATCGTCGCCGTATTAAAAAGGGACAAATAACCTCTGTACTTGATATCTTGCTTGGCTCGCTTTACAGCTGGGAGTACTCAAACCTGTTAAATGTACAAGTCCATTCATATAAAACGATGCACGAAAAAATAGCCGTTTTTCAATGACGTTTTATTTTTATTAAAATAAAGTTTTTAAGTATTAAAAAGTTTTTATTAAAATAAATATTATTTATTAAAATAAAAGAGCAAGTACAATACTTTTACACCATTATACACTTTTCTCATTGTCAAGTGTAACTTATTTATTAAACAAACTGGAACTCATACTTTCTACAACTATTCACAGAAAATTGACCACAGCGCTTGCTGAAACACGCTCTTTGCTCACCCACATTAGAATCTCGAACTCAATATTGTACTTACGCTTTGTAGGGGACACGGACTCTGGAATTATTTTTGAAATATGTGAGCTAAACGAAAGTTCATGAAACGAATTCAGATTTCACGATGTCGCATTTCTCCTCGTGTGAGACTGCTTAAAATCCTCTTTTATGTCAACTATAACGTCAAATTTGAAAATATGCATCATGTTTCTGTTACTCTACCAACGTTAAAAGTCATAAAAAAGGCCCAGCCCTATTTTTAGTTTATACACACGCTTACACGCTGCATAAATTTAGAAAATGATTGAATATAAGGCTAAATACAGGACAATTAATAAGGCATAATCTGCACTATATTTTATTGTAGTTACAAGGATATTAAGATAAAGTGCTTTATACTTATTATAATAACTACATTTAGAAAATTACAACACAGTTGATGTTGTCTAACTTTGCCTTTAAGTGATAAAGCATTGAAAACAATAAATACCTAATAAAATTTAACATAAAGTATAACAATTATAATATTAACTTAATAATATTGACCTTTGTGATCGGAATAATATGAGACATATTTCTTGTGACAATGATATTAAAACCATGTAATTTATAATCAAACCGCTATAAATATAATCTTTGCATGGTATAAAACAAGGTCTCTTCCCACTGTCTGTATGGCGAGATATTTTAACTACAACACACCGGATTTTTATCAATATATAGTGATTCAAGAGGAAAGTTTATACATATGTATAATACAAGACCACGCGGTCGATACCGCTGGCGGAAAGCTAGTTAAAAGTAGTATACATTTTATTTTTCCAATAAAAACCAATAAACTAATGGCGCCCGGCGGTAGAAATAAGATTATAAACTTTAACATTCAAAGAATGACCTATCTTGTTTAGTTTCAGTCACGTAAAAATACCACTGAGAGACAGTGTATTAAAACATTGTATTATTAAACAGTAAGTATACTTTTTGTTCAATAATAATAATAATAAACACATGTCACAGTCATCCTTGCCTCGTTACTATTCCATAAATTTGCAAGTACTTTGCCAGTAGCCTTTTTACATAACGGTGCCTAACTATTGTTATTATTCAAGACTATACAATTCAATGTATTTAAGGCATTATTTATTATTAAAAAAAATCTACACTTCGCCTCCATATAAACGTTGATTGTGTCAAAGAAATTCCTACGTCCAGAAAAGTATCGTAAAATAGAGTCCTAAGTTTTTGTTTCACGTAACTATTGATATTATAAAGATATAAAATGTGTTACATAATTAATGCAATAATATAAGTAGATTTTTCGAACAAACGGGATTATCATGGCATAAAATTGATGAGAAAGAGGATTAATTCTATCACTCGTCTCTATGGTTCACATTTACAGAAAAAAAAAATGTGTTTTCAAGTCGAATATAGATTAATATTATCAAATGCACAACGTGAGACAAATAATTCAAAAACGTATTTACTTAAGCTGCACATTAGTAACAATAAAATGACAACTTTTCACATCGATCAACATTAAACTCTACCTCCAAAGCTTTAAGGTTTAATATCCGGTAACTTTGTTGACTGTTATACTTATTAGAGTAAGTATAATTAAATAATTATAACAATACAACTCCTTATCACACTATATATCCTTGCTAAAATATAACTAGTACTAGAAGGACGTTTCTTAATAAAAATACGTATCACGTTCGTTAAGACGTAAACGACGTACCTAAACAGCCTTATTGAATATTATGTATTTAGTCACACATCACACTATCAACTAGCGAAAACGAACTTAAGAGCGTATAAAGTGGCTACTAAGATGGGCGGAGGAGGCGGTCCTTCCCGGGTCTCCGGTCCTGGGGCCTCCAAATGGCTGCAGCCATCCGCCAAAATCATAACAATATAATAAATTTAAAAAATGTAAACGGAAGGGAGAGGATGGTGTAAACGCAATATTTCTGCCCCGGTTGGAAAAGGTTATCGATTCAGGCCTGTTGCTGACCCGGGCCTCCGATGAGGTTAGTCCGCTACTGCGTATAATAAATACTACCTAAAATTGTATTGTATTATAGTTAACTAAATAGAACCAAATTGCTCAGTACGACTGATATGTCTGTAGAAATCTATTCAGCGTTCCAAAAATAACACATCGGAGTCTTACAGTAAAAAAAATCCTCAACTTTATGAAATAGGTAGTATCTAAACTATTACGATGAGAGAGAATATTTTTATTTATTAATTAAATACACACCAACAGTGTTTTAACAATGACTATACAATGACAATACTAAACAATATCTACACCAAATTGTTGTCTTATATTATAAAATATACGGGTAGACCAAGGGCAGTCTATCTAATTACATACATATTGTAAATTCCACTATAAGCCATAAAACATAAAAGTTCGCAATCAAAGCTCACTGCAAGTGGAATCAGAGCATCGAGTTACTTTTAAAACTCTATCGATTTTGGCTACTTCCATATCTTTATTATATTATACATCCCTAATATACAAAACAAGGATGTAATTTAGTCAACATTTTTAAGTAACTTAACACAGACTACCTAGAGAAATAGCTATCAAGATATTCACAGACATATATTACTTTAAATATATAAATATAATGCAGCAATTCACATAAATTACTATTAACATAACCAAAATGTCAGTGCGAGGGTGCCAGGACTGATGTTTGAGATTGTACACGCACATAGGCACCGATACCATAGAGTACTAGAATCTGCCCGCGTATCTACGTAAGGGTCTGTCCATAAATTACTTCAAACGAAATTCTTGATTTTTAACATCCCCTTCCATCCCTTGTCACAGTAAATATAAAAATCTATTAAATATTATTCTAATGGCAGACTTCGTTGACACCCTCCCCCTGCTAACATGCAACGTAAAAGGATGGCCCCTGAATATTTACTTTTACAAGAGTTTTGAAGTATATATTAATGTAACGAATGTTGAAAACAAGGTTTTTTCTGCAATAAACTGACAAAAGGAACTCAAGAGCGGGCTATTACCATTATGTGTGTATTTTGTTACAAGTGTTAGACGAAAAATATAAATTACCATGGACATTAAGCTATTTATCCATTGTATTACGGACATCCCTATCTGCCAGTTAGCTTTACGTTTTAAGGTGACTTGTGATTGTGTATAACTTTTGTGTATTGTGTATATTGTGTATAACTTTGACACCCTCCCCCTGCTAACATGCAACGTAAAAGGATGGCCCCTGAATATTTACTTTTACAAGAGTTTTGAAGTATATATTAATGTAACGAATGTTGAAAACAAGGTTTTTTCTGCAATAAACTGACAAAAGGAACTCAAGAGCGGGCTATTACCATTATGTGTGTATTTTGTTACAAGTGTTAGACGAAAAATATAAATTACCATGGACATTAAGCTATTTATCCATTGTATTACGGACATCCCTATCTGCCAGTTAGCTTTACGTTTTAAGGTGACTTGTGATTGTGTATAACTTTTGGAATCGGTACATTGTAATTTTTAATACAAAAAGTATTTATCAGAAGTTATGTATAAAAAAAATATTTATGAGTTCTAATATATGGGGGTATAGGTGACTTATCTGACACCTGCTGCCTTACTCTTGAACGCAATATCAATGTCAATTTCAATCCAATCTAATGACAATATCAATTTTCATCAAAGCTTAGCTCATACACTTGCTTTTGATCTTTAAGCGATTTTACAATAACCGTAATAGGTTTTGAGTACGTATTTGTCACGTTGGATGTGATTTCGTCTCCAATTTTGCTTCAACTTTATGCGCATTCTTAAGCACCAATAAACAATTCTATTGGTGTATTTAGTTATAATTATTATACGTAATGTATCTGTTAATATTGTATTTATTTTGGTGATGTTACGTCATATGTTCGAACAACCAGTACCATCACTTCATAAATTATGTGATACAATTTGTAGTCATGGCACTATTACTTTACTTTATCACTATTGATCACATATTTTGTAAACCTGTTCTTACTGAAACTTAATGAAGCTAGTGTTGCTTGTGAAGCTACGTTCAATGCTTATTTAGCACTGTTACGGGCGACAAACGATCATCTCTATTACTCTTATAATATTTTGAGTCTATGTTTTCTTGTTTATCATCTACTTTAGAAAATAAGTACTGTGTGAAGGAATCGTCTTTTGGTATTTCTTTATGCATTGAAGTTACTTCCTTTTTGAAATCGCTTCTATAATTAGATATATTGCTTGTGTTATGAAGCCCTTTTGGTAATTTTGCATCAAGCTTGTTGCTCTTTTTAACGTCGTTGCCGTTTATTTCGACGCTTGGCTCGTGTGTTGAAGACTTAGAGTCGTTGTCGACATTTTTACGCAAGCTTTCTGGAAGGGTTTCAGATTTCAGTTTGACTAATGTAGTATTCACGACCGAACAATCGATTTGCATCAGAGTAACGTGATCTGTCATCAATGAATCTGTAAAACAATAATCAATATAAAAAATGTATTACGTTTCATTCGCAAATAGATATTATAACAGTCACTTACCATTGCCAGTTCTTGCAGGCAAAATTAGAGCCATTCTCGGTGGTCTTGTGACATTGTGTGATACAGCAGGTAACAGTAAATGTTCACCTTTCCCAACGCCTACCACATAAAATGTATCATCTCTCCTCTGAAGAGCCTTCAATAAATCACTCCATTCACTCAAATCATCTATGTGGAAATCATCTACGGTCTTTCTTATAGGCTTACGATAAAGGCTTTCATAGTTTATCACAGCATTATCTTCGAAGTCTATTTCTCTATTCCGTCTCAATCTACGATGACGGGCTTTCTCTCTGGCATTCTTCACATGGGCTTTTGCACTGATTATATCTAATAGGTTATTGTCTAAATTTAATTTGTTAAACAGCTTGTAGGTTTCAAGGAAGTCTCCTGAAATATAACATGTGTATGAAACAACTAGAATAGGAATGATGCTTGGGTACAAAACAAGAAATTTGTTTGCCCGTCTATTTAATTTTTCAATGCAGTTGCTCATAAAGTGCTATTTTTTTAATCCATTGTAAACACCGAAAGTGAGGCTTCAAACACGTGTTAAATAAAAATGTACTGAAATCCTTTACTGCACACGTGCTTAAAAGTATTTTTTTTTATTTTTTTTGGCCCAGCACCAAAGAAATTTAAAAAAAATGATGAAAATATGTCAAACTTTAGAGGCAAAAGTATTTCAAGGAGCCTAGAACGAAAATTTTCAAATAAAAATGTATGGCACGAAAACACGTTCAAATATCATGTTTAATTTTAACAAATAATTTTTACCTTTAATACATACTTAGTTTTATTAACCCTTTATATTTGTTTTATTTCCTCACAAAAAGCATTGAAAAATGTTGTAAGAAACTTGAGCGTTAAAGGTTTATCGAGTATGACACGAAAACATGTTCAAATATCACGTTTAATTTTAACAAATAATTTATACCTTTAATACATACTTAGTTTTATTAATCTATATATTTGTTTTATTTCCTCACAAAAAGCATTGAAAAATGTTGTAAAAAACTTGAGCGTAAAAGGTTTTTCGAATTCGTGCCAATGAAAAACCCTCGCTACGCTCGTGTTTTCAATTTGGCCCTTATTCGTAAAACCTTACTTTCCGCACTCGTATCTTAAATAACTATTCTATCTTAAATAACTCGTATCTTAAATAAATAACTATTCAGTCAGTTAAATAACAGAAAAATATGAGATTCGTATTTTTGTTTGCTTTAGTTTAACTAGAAATGGCATTAAAGTGGAGGAGTGGGGGCTCGCTACGTCACAACTATGTAAAAGGTGAAAAAGTGTGTGGTCACGCAACATTTCACTTCAATATCGCCGTATTTTATTGATTACGAAAAATTACAAAATACGTGTTTAATATTATTAAACATCCCTATTACTAAACCCAACTTGCAAATGAAAGCTCAGGCTTAATGAAAATAGACATAATCGCATGTGTGAAAGATAGTGATAATATTACCAGTGATTTTCTCTTCATTGAGATAAACTCGACGTTTTTTTCTGGTCGGGTTGTAAGTCCAGTTTAATGTCTTGCCGCCACCGATCCAATGATTGAGCTCTTTTGCTATCCTTATACTTTCAGTGTGATTTACTCTAGCAAAATCAGGTTGTGTAGTCAAATTTTGACAATCTATACCATATGTATTGTTATCATTTGAATCTGTAAATATAATAATTATATATATATATATATATATATATTTTTTTTTTTTCTGAGTTCGATTTGCCACTCGTGCCTTGAACTCCTATAGCTTCGATAATTTTGTAAGTGTGTGCGTGCGACGACGCATACGCACGGGCGCGCTCACATACAAACCATTTTCGGTGCGTATGTATGAACAGCACTTACTCTTTATACTCTGGTTACATCAAATGGTTGTGGAAATAAAAGATATCTGTGGTAAACCAATAGTGCATTTTAAACGATTTTATTACGAGTATTAGTCGAAAATTACCAATTACTAAACACAAATGCAAAACTAATCAATCATTGACAGTCTTGACACACTGTTGACAATTAAAAACTCGATAGCTTGTATTCAGGTTGACTTTCGTGGATCATAAAGCGGTATACAATGACATAATACATAATTAAACTGTTAAAGAAATTTTCATACATACCAGTTTGTAACATACTGTCGCTATTTTCATCAGACCATAATAAATGTCTTGTATTTTGATGAGGCCCCGATGGTCCAACTAATGGTTTCGAATTCCACCTGATTACAATTAATAATTAATGATTACAATTAATATGCGGAATTGGGTTAATTACGTTAGACATAATATATAAATATTATCAACATACCCTAAAACATTCCAATTCATGGAAACCATAAAAACCATAGCAAAAATCACTGCTATATTTTTCTTCGGTATAAGAATGGATGCATCTATTTTTGGTATCTGAAATAGTAAATATTCATTTTAGCATTGATGCAAGCTCTTTAGGTTATTAATTATAAAATAATTTATGAAATGACGACCTGCATTGTAGATTTCACATAATTTAATTGTCATTTAACTACATAAACCTAGAATGCCATTTACATATTTATTAATGATATTTACCTTTCGACCTCGCCCATTATTCTCGAGCTTATCCCGTAAAAGTTTGTTTTCAAGGCGTAGTTTGGCTATTTCTTGATGCGCTTCTAATAATTGCTGCTCTAACGCAGACACATACTCTTTTTTCTTTTGTCTCGATTGACATGCTGATTCACTACAATAAATTTCTACATTTAAATTTTGGTTTCATATCAAAATAACTCAGTACCTACTTAGATAAAATTTAATGTATCTCATAATAGACTATTTTATATCAATTGCATTAAAACTACATACCCTCCATTATAAGATTTTCAAGTATTAATGATTATAATATTTTCAATATAAATTTATAGTTAATAATTACCATTCTATAGTCCATAATATGACATCTTTTATCACATATTTTAAAGTTCAGTAAATTTTATATTAAATAGATTTTATCAATTTTTGCAGTAAGTAAACATGTTTGTTCAGAATAATCAATATTATAATACTATAATGCAAAGATAGCAGTTTTTAATATGCATTTTATAAATACAGAAAGTAAGTTTTGCCTGTATATGTTAAATAAGTTCTTACCGGTTTTTTATCATCCTTTGCTGCTTCTTTACAGCCCTAATTTCAGCTTCACTCATATGTGAGAAATCTAGTATAGATGAATTATCAAGTGTTTCAGCTTCTATCTTTGGTGATACAGTATTATGTACCATCGCAGGAGATTGTGATAAAATCTGCTTTGCATTCACGACTACACTTTTAGGCTGCGGTAACTGCAAATTAAATTGCCATGACTCCAAGCCATCTTACAAAATTCTCCAATCTTGGCATTCACCTATTAGCTACCTTACAGCAAATGAGCAAATAAATATTGATAACCCTCAGATTCTGTAGTGTCAAGTTGTGGAAGTATTTAATACTGTCTTGTTTGTTATATTTTTATACAAAAATATATATCTAATACAGTGACCATTCGCACACTCAGAGACACTCAATATTCGTAAATAGCTTGAAAACTACTGCTATTCCAATTAGAATTTATTTATGTTTTAACAGACACATTTGAATACTTATAATACCTACCTCAAGTTGGTAGCCATTTGTTTTAACATTATTTGTTTGGGTATCACTGTATTTAGTTTGTAATAATGGGGAAATGGCAATTTTCCCACCCTTTGTACTCCCTGCAGGTACCACTATAGTTGGTGACTCTGCTTTCACAAACAAATTGGAAGATCTTTTCAATATGCTTGGAATTTTCTTTTGCTCCACGATCACTTTTATTTGATTATTTACAATTTTGTGATTAACATCATTCTTGATATTGTTATTTGTATAGAAATTTTCATTGACTACCTTAAAATAAGAATTCTGTGGACATGTGTTACCTAAAACAAATTTAAGTTGATTAACAGATGAATTCCACACTGTTATGCTTTTTATTTTCAAAAATTGATAACTGTATTTTTTACCATTTTGTTGTATGTGAGCAGGCAAATCAAGTAATTTGGGTCCAATGTCACTTTTTACCCCCTGAAAATACCAAAATTATTTACAATAAGCTTCAGTAAAAGTTGTGACAAAATTATAAACAACATTAGCTTGAAAGATGCTTAAAAATGTGTTTTTGCATTGTGAACACAAAAATGGTTCAAATATAACATTAATAAGCCAATCTCACTTTATTTATTATAGAATTATAATAATACATTTTCAATATTATCTCAATGTTTGTTGCATTGTATTAGAGTATACAGTGCAACATATAGATCTCAACACAATAGATCTTTTATATCTTTTATATTTTAATAGATCTTTTTAGAAACACATAGATCTTTTGTTACCAAATAAATAAATAAATTTTCAACAACATCAAATACTTTGCTCTGATGGGTTAAGAAGTATGGCAATTTGAAATAATGAAAGTATCACAACATTCAGACCTGAGACACCATAGTAATTTTTCTGCATTAATCTGATTGGCAATCAAATCCAAAACCTCAGAATTGGTGACATCCTCAAACTACATTGCGAACCTCTCAGCTATGGGGCTTGTTAATGATACAATAAATAATCTATATTAAATTATCTCTTGTATAGAACATACCTTTATAATACCATTTTCAATTGCCATTACAGGCCCTGTCCTTTCCGGAGGTGTAGTAGATATTGGATCATTTGAAGGTATAGGACTAACTGAAATAAAAATTGGAATGAACTGATAACAAACTGATCACACTTACATATGCAATTGCACAATAATAAAAAAAGGTTTGAACGTATATCGACGGTGAAGTGCCAATACCTTCTAACTAACACAGACAAAATTTTACACAAAGTGAAAAAATGTTTAATTTCTTGAAAACGTTAAAATCAAGAAATCAATTTATATGGAGCACATATCAATATGACAGGCTTAGGTTTCAATAAAATATTAATTTGATTAATAATCGTTTAGTAGGTATTTGGTTAGATAGAAGGTATTGGTTTAACATCCTCAGTGATTTCATTAAATAAATTGTACGATAGAAGGTATTGATTTTAATTAAAACAATAATGACTTTGAAAAATTGCTTTTACGATTGATATTACACCCTCGCAAGTGACGCGACGCATCCCTACCGCTAACTTCACCCATAACACGAGCCGCGGCGCGGCTGTGAAAAGTTAATCGGCAATGTTCCGCGTTGAGATGTAGTAGTCTTATACGTAGATAGGAGAAATTGCCATAAATTATATACGCTAATTTAGTTAGAAGATATTTCCACATTCATTTTTCTCCAGTTGTCGTAAAAAATACGGATAGGCGATTTCATCAACCCATGCGGTAAACGACCTTAACGTCAATGAAATAAAAAAGTCATTTTCTCGAAAAATGTTAGTTAGGAGGTATTGGCACTTCACCGTCGATATGTACATAAAGCATCACACCAGGGTACAAAAAATGTGTAATTTTCAATTTCTAACTTAGGTAATTATCAACAATAAGGTTTTAATGATTGCATACATTTTACAGTTTAATTAATATAAGCCCACATGCTGTTGACTAATACAGGTCTGACTAAGACTAATACAGGTTGACTGATGATGAATTGTTTTACCTTTGTTGTTTGATTTTTGTAAGAATAATTCTACATCTTCTGGACTTAGGCTACTGGATGGCTCATCTTTCATAATGGTCATCCAGTCAATTGGCGATTGTGATGACTGGCGCATTGATGCACTGCTAGAACTGCTGAAATATAGATAAGTGCCAATTAAACAACTAAATAAAAATAAGTTTCTTAAAAAATATTTATTAATAATATATACTTCTTGGAATCATCTTCACTTCCAGAATCTGAATTACTACTTTCAGGTGTTGATTTGTCACTTAGAATTGGAGAAATCGGCGGCACCAGCGCTGGTGCTGCATCAGCTAAGATTTCACTTGGTGTAGCATCATCCGACACTAACAATGAAGACCACATAGACTCATTTGTAAATTCATTTAAAAAGTCGTCCGCTGTAATTTAAAGAGAACTTTATGAAATAGTGTAGCTTTATGTAAATAGGCTCGGAATTTCAAAGCATTGTTTTATTGTGCATATATAACAATGATGGAAAAAACTGGAATTGGAAAATAATATAGATTTCAATATACCATCCACAGATATAAGTATCAACAATACAATAGAAAGTGCATCAAGGGCATTTTCAAGCATAGCTGTAGCGCAGCATTGCGAGCACATTGTTTACAAGTTTGCCGGATAACTATTATATAGAAAATAACATACCATATAAATAATCCTTGCTTCCTGATAAAATGTCTGTGTCCATGATGAATTGCAATTAATTTTATCATGCATTCCAAAAAGTTTTTAGCATGCATTCCAATCTCATGAGAACAAAAAAATTATTAATTACGACAACAAAACGCCACAAAAATCGCATTATTTTGTCATCGTTGAATTGACGTTTTACTTTTTAATTCTACTAATGTCTTCCAAACTTGTTGAAAATAAATAACGATATATTGATATTAGTGGCGTGTTTTGATACGATATATCGTATAATCCTTTAATTTTTTCATTTACTACTTTGTTATTGAGTGTGGTGATATAAACTCTTTGGTTTATATCAAAAAAACAACTATGACTGTCATTAATTGTCATGTAAAATTTGTTGAATAAAGCCTATTAATTTTTCAGTTTCTTTAATAATCTATAATGGTTTATTCTACTACATTGAGTAAACGTTTGTTGTTCGTTAGTTCAGTCTGTATGCATCATGATAGAGATAAATGATTTAAATGAATGTAATACACAATGAAGGCAAAAAATAACGTCAGTAGTTCTATTTGCATTACGCAAAGGGATAAAATTGTCTATAATAATAATAAATTTCATGTTTGACTATAAATAATTGTTATTTTTTTCGTAACTTTAATAAAGTTATTTACAAAGATTATAAATTATTTACTCTGTATTTATGAATTATTAACATAATAACGTCTAGCTGACCAATTGGGCAGCTAGCCCTCTAATGAGGAAGTATTTAAAAAAAACGAAAGCACTAAAAAGCACCTCCACTAGATGGTGACTTTAGCAAAAATTCATTTTTGCAGGAAACGAATGGACCAAAAACAGTCATTTCCATTCCTTTTAACAAAGATATTAAAACACTGAAATTTGAAAAGTTCGAAACTTAGATATCAATACAAATACAAAAAAGTACAAATAGAATATGAGTTGTTTACTGAGTTTTGAAAACTAATTTACTTATAAATATGAAAGAAAACCGGAACGAATTTTGGAATAAATTTCTTTTTTATTTGTATATAGCAAAATGGAAGCTCACGTAATGGAAGTGAGCATAAAGGTTTTTTAAATGTTATGGAAATAAATAGAATTTAGCTTTAGCTATTGTATACAATAATATTACCGTGAAATAGTTTTTATATATAAAATACGTATGCCATAGCAGCTCAAAGCATTTTTCACTACAGTGTTTAACAAAAGTTCTGAAAATAATAACAACTAGGTAAGTAAGTTTTTTTTTTTTAGTTGTTGGTTGAACTCACATCAAGAAAAGTACACCAAGTCTCAATAATATTTTTAAATTATGTGTTGTGAATGAATGAAGAGGATTTATTTATCATTAACAAAGGTCATAAAACAATAATTATAATAAAAAATCCGTTCATTAATTATATACTTACCCGATATGTATCATATATACTAGGTGTACGTTTGTACAAAGTTCCTTGAAATATAGTTGAGCGAAGCGATGGCGGGCTCATGCGTCAAATTCACCAACGGGTGTTGCCAGTGGGGGCGAGTCTGTACTGGACTACATAATTTCGTCCATTTTTCTCTTATTATGTATATTGTATGTTGATTAGTTAATGAGTACGTATGACTCGGCTTGTTTGCTATTAAAGGAAAGTGACTTCATAGTCTAATTAAGTCCTCTTGCTGAGTTTCTTTCCGGTTCTTCTCAATACAAGGTCTCCCGCCGTTGTTTTGGTTGTTTCCATAGTTTCCGAGTTTCACAAGTACTATGTAACAGCCAAGACTGAATTGATTGTAATATTAATATTAATATCATTCGACGTGTGAATGCATAATGCACATATGGAAATAATGCACATAAAAAACAAGCTGAATTCTGTGCTCCGCTTTATGTTCTTCATTCCAAACCTGAATCAGATGAATAGAGTCAATAGAAGTTACGAGCAGCCAATAAGTTGGCTCATCCCTAATGTTGATATATAAACCAAACATCGTTCCTTTACACGTAACATTAACTTAAATTTACGATTCAAATAAATAAAAATTAATTTGAAAGTAAGATATTATAAGAACACGAAATGATGTCATATTTATTAATTTTCGATACTTAATTTACTTTTATTACGTTAGAAACAAAATTTTAATGAATATCATGATAATTATCCGAAAATCGCTAGCGACATCTAGTTTGATCTCAAGAACTATTTTTTATTTTTTAAATACTTCCTCATTTACATGACACCATTTTACAAAACATGGATACGAATCGGGCATCCTTACCGTAGACTGACTTTTCTGTCTTATACGTGCGTGAAACGGAACGTGATCATATCAATTTTGACGTATTATTTTGGGTTTGGGTTTTCGATTGATTTCTCGCCCGTGACTATTGTATCTATCATTTAAATTAATATCTTTTCTATACAGTCGAAATGAAATTATTTCAGAACTTTTATTACTAACGCTGTTTAATATGTAACCTATAGATTATGATTTGCTAAAATGCTCTAAATCGTGTTGAAATTGCCGGTTGCGAAAATGTCTGTTCCTGATGATCAAGAGGAGTTTATATTTCGTCCTCAACAACATTTAGACACAAAATGGCTTAACCCTGACTTAAAAGATGCTTTACATGATCCAGAGTCACTATGCACTTTGTACAATAGCTTACTCCAAGATCGAGAGATATATTTCGATGCTTCAAATGGTCTCGTAAATTCTGCAGGAGTTACTGCAAAACTTGGAGAAAGTGGGAAATACTACTGTGGTCTCAGGGTAATTTATTCTTAAATTTGAATGCTATGAATTCAAGTATGCCAATATTTAATTGATTTCCTATGGGTAATATGTAACTTTATAAAAATAATAGTCTATGATTCAAAAGCGATTCATTGAATTATTTTGTTTTCTTTTGCAGATATTGACTTGCACTTGTTGTGATGGCTTGTGTGGACCACATTCAGGTTGTGCTTGTACACCATGTACAATGTTATCTGCAGAGGAGGATATGCGTACAGCTATACTATCAAAATTAATTGTACCACCACCCTCAACACAAATAATAGATGAGCTAAAATGGAAATTGGATCCAGGTAATATTTACTGATTAATTTCTTATATATTTTTTTAAATCGTTGATAGAAAACTAGTAATAATAAATCAAAAGTTTTATGTGCTTGTGTGAAAGTTAAAATATAAGCATGACTGCTTAACCACCTAATATTTGCTTTCAAAACTAGAACATTCTATTATATTTAATTTGATATATATGGTAAATTAATTAAAACAGTAAATTATGAAGTTATATTTTCAGGACCAGAATGTCTACAAAATCTGATGGAATCCTTACTTTGGGAGCAACGTGTTAGAGCCATCAATACAGCTCTTAGTTGTCCTTTCATCTCACAAATCCGTCGCCTGATAGTTTTATGCAATAGGCACCTTATAGCAGTTATTAGGTATATTTTTTATTGTTTATTGTACTGCCATCTATTCAAATATAAAGAGGTATGGATATTCTGAACTTAATTTGAGTTCTAAAACCACAGCATGTCTTTAAGATATATTACATTTCTCAGATATGTAGTGATTGTGCCCAATCAACTTAGGTCACATTGAATAAGTTGTAGAAAACTGAATTTCCTTAAAATTCCCTGTAGTACAATTAATTGTGATGTAGTTGTGTTTTTAAATTCATAGTACATGTGCTTTGGCTTACTAATAAGCTTTGGAAGAGATATCTCTCAGATATTATCTAATCATATTGATTACTAATAATATTATTATTTAACGAACTTCAAAATAGTAAAGGAAGAGGTTCTGTGTTCAACAGCAATGTACAGATTTTTGTATGTTAATTGTTGACTGATTTTCAAGAATGTCCCATTTAAATTACATTGAAATTGAATAAGAAATAATTTTATACAAAAAAATAACAATATCACTAAAAAGCAGGGTTTATAATTATCAAGATAATTAGTTTTTTGATAATTAGCATCCACTTATGAGTGAATAAACTTTTATGTTGTTTAAAATTATAAAAAAATTCAAAAATTGATATCACACTGAAAAAAGTGAAATGAAAATATAAATGAAAATATTTTTTTATTAAAAAGAAAATATAATATTCAATATTTATATATATGAAAATATAATATAATAAAAGAAAATATTCTTTTATTTTTTGTTTTGTAGGTCCATTCTAGACAACTTTTGTTAGTTATTTAAATATAATTCCCCTTTAATAACAAGTACTAAATTACAAAATCAGTTTATGTAGTGTCTCATAATTATCAAGATGCTAGTCCTAAATTCCAAAAAAAATTTATGTAGTGCCTTACAATTGTCAAGGTATATTTATCAAGATAATTATCAAGGTATATTTATCAAGAAAATTATCACCCGCGAAACCCGCTAAAAAGCATGAAAAAAAAACTTTTTATAAAAAGGTAGAACCTTTTATAAAAAGTTTTTATTTTTTCAACTTCAAACTTTAAATAATTATTATTTTCTTATGACTAAAAATGATGAAGTAAAGAATTGATTATTATTTTCTTATGACTAAAAATGATCTTTACTTGGCAACATTGAAATGATGGTAAAGGTAAATTAATGCAAAGAAGGAATGTACTAAATTTACAAGTACTTATTTTCGTACAAATCAAATTACTTGTGTGATTTCCAATGATCTCCAAAACCTATGACATTGCTATCTTTTCCTTAATAAACGTGAATGCAAAATTGCTGAAACATAGTAATCGGTATCTTTTATCATATTTTTGTTTCAGAGACCATAGCCACAACAAAGAAGAAAAGAAAGTAAAATCTGATAAAAAACCACCCCATACAGTTAGTAACAGAGCTTTGAGCAATGTTGTTAATACTTTAAATAAGCCAGTAGAACTTACTGATAGTCAAGATGATGTAGAAGATCAAGCTGATGACTCTGAGAAGTATGTATTTCTTTTATTTACACTTTAGTATATTTGTTTATATTTTTAGGTGTGGCCATTTTTGTCTTTGCTTAGGCTGGTAAACATTTGGAACAAAAATAATTTCTATTGTCTTCAGCATACTCCAGTTCCTTGATCAATGTTATTGGTGTCTCATAAAATCAAATTGAATAAGCACCAGTATAATGCTTTGAGTTACAAAACCTTATGAAGTGTTTATAAAAATATGCCATCCATAATTACACAAATAATTATAATTCTATACACAAATAATTATTTGTATTGTGTGAATGTATTTTCAGTGCGTTTGGATTAGCCCGCGTTGGTGCTCGAGCGGCGCTTCGTTTAGCACTATCTTTAGTAAGAAGAGCATGGCGCTGTGGCGAGGATGCCGACGTATGTTCGGCGCTGCTACGAGATGCTTTAGATGCCGTGCGAGCTCTACCAGATGCCGCGCTTTTCGCTGGTGCTACAGCGGCGCAGCAAGCGCCAAGATCGCAGAAGATATGGGCAGAAGTTGTAGATAGCGCTGCAAAGTTTCTGCACCAAGTTGTGGCTGGGTATGTATTTATAGTGAATATGTTTATGATGCGACAGCTGCATTTGAAACTTAGAATATATGTATATACATACTCTTTGGTTCACAACACTCTCTTTTTTATAAAAGAAGAAGAAGTTTACTTGTGATAATTTAACAATGTACTCTTTCTGTTACTGTCTTTGCGATTTTTGATTCCTCTTTTTGATGCAATTTATGTACTAAATTAATAATTAATATATTTAGTATAGTTTAAAAATTGCTTTATTCATTATTGTAAAAGTGAAACCATAACAAAAATATACAATCGAAATTACCACTACAATATAATTAAACCCATAAAAAGCTCTTGTAAATAAAAATTTTATGATACAACTATGCAGATAATTTATGTTGTACTAGTAAATTATCTTCGACAATAAAATGCATACAAGGAAAGGTAATTTGTGAGTGATTTGCAGTATTAATTATCTTCATTTTCATTCTAGGGAAGTTGGCTGCAATGTACCACTAGGAGACTGGCGCACGTCCCTTTGCGTGTGGGTCGAATTATGTGCGCGCCGTGCAGAACTACCCGCACTGTTAAAAGCTGCAGATGTTCTAGTTACCTTGCCGCCACGGCAGAAAAGACAATCAGATAACAGGTTATTATAATAGTCTCTTTAGATGTCACATTTTAAAATTAAACTATTACTTTATATAGTTTAATATTTTCGTTTCAGAATAACTCTAGAAGAATGTACTGCACCTTTAGGGCCATTTCTTAGACGCATGGCTAAAGTCAGCGCGCCAATTCCTTCAATAAACAATGACCCCAGCACTGAACCAAGTCCTACAGAAATATATTTGAAGTAAGTTTGTTTACAAATAACAAAACTTAATGTTTGACTAGTATTTATTATAAGTAATGTACTTAGTTCTATTATATTGTGTACAGTAAAAGACTAGAATCTGACATTTTAGGGAACTGAATATACCAAGTGGTGATGGATTAATGGAAGTAAGGAAAGCTGGCATAGCTTTACTATGTCACTTGGATAGACTTGGTGCTCCATTATTACCACCCCTGAAGGGATTTGTTACTGTAAGTTAGTTTCTTATATTTTTTTTAACAATGAGGGCTAACGTGTTTGAATTTGCCATTAGAGGCGTTAGTGTAGAGCGAGGTCCTTAAGAAATCAAATATAATACTTTGTCGGCGAGTTTTTTTTTTTTTTAAAGAAACGGGCATACATTTCATTAAAAAAAAATGTGCTTATTTTGGAGTACCTGAGATTCATTTAAGTGATGATTACGGAACAATGAATGTGCTTTAAATACGGAGCTAAGAAAAAAGTATGCAAAATCAGCAGGTTTAGAAAACAGCAAATTCAAAGGTTTTTAATAAATAGATTTATTTATGATGTTAAGTTAACGCTTATAGTGAACTATTATTAGAGGACCTCTCAGTGACTGTCAATGCCATCTGGTGGAGCATGAAACGATAGCCCTCATCATTATGAGTATTACTACTACTTATATTATTGTTTGATTTTAAAGTGTACAGAGTCGGCGCAAGAAGTAATATCAGTAGGTGTAGGACCGTTACAACTAGGTGCTCTAAGAATACAGCAGATATCGTGTGCAGAGAAATTGGCACTATTGCTTACTTATGATGGAGCCGTTTACACGCTTCCCTACGACACAATGACGCCGCAGCTCGTTCCTGGTAACCTTTATTTATATATAACATTTGTTTCTTAATGATCAAATCATAGATGTTGCCGTTGCTTTCACATCATAGACGAGGTTGCGACGCGGTACGTCACTTTCGTAAAATGTCATCTCGAAAAATTGGTCACTTTTGTAGAAAGTCAATTTTGCAAAAGGTAATTTTCTCAGAAAGTCATTTTAGCAAATTAATCATTAGAGCTGGTGAGTTTCTTGCTTGGTCTTATCAGCCACAGGATCTCCTAAACGAGTGGTAGGAAAAGCAATTTTGCACAATTCAATAGTGCTTAAAACAAGTTTATTTGAATAAGCATATTTTACCTTTGACTTAGAAATTGTTATAGTATTGTGATTTTTCACATAGCATAGGTACACTGATGTTCGGCATTTGAAGTCTTTAGTGACGTGTTAATAAAAATATATACACCCAATACTCTATGTTATTGAGATAAAAGAGATAATTGATTTTGATGTCAATGTATAAGAAAAATATTTATTTATCTTTTTTATTCATACGGGATTATTAAAAAAAAGTTCCAAATTTTGTGACAAGTATTGATGTTTTAAACTTTAGAGATTTAGATATCAGTAATTATGGCTATTATTTGTGTTTTAATATGCCAATTTAAATAAACTTTTTTTTATAACGTTAGTTTTTTATTATTTGGAATACAAATTGCGTGAAATGAATTTGTTAACAAACATCACTATAACAGTGAAATGGACTATAACAATTTGTTTTGCATGCAAAGGTCTCGAGAACAAAACTGTAACGCAAGTGTCGTGTCACCCTGTCGGCCGTCACTATTTGTGCTGCTCATCGTGCGGGGGCGTTTGGTCGTGGGGCGTGGGCGAGGACGGTCGCCTCGGGCACGGCGATACGGCGCCGAGGGATGCGCCCGTCGCTATACACCATCTAGCTCATCACGAAGTCGTCAAAGTCGCCGCTGGGGTCGCTTGCAGGTGATTAAATCACCATCAGTCTATCAATAACCCCAATACTGGGGCTCAGGGATTCCTTATGTCTGGAATCCTACAGGGAAAATGTTCCATAATCCACCTGCAGATGCGTCGGGACTGATGGCTTAACGTGCTTTCCCAAGTACGGAGGAGTTAGAGATAATACATTTTTGATCACCCATCCTATTATAGGCCGTTGCGAAAGTTGCTTAACAACCGTATCGCGGCCACCACTGCGTCATTCAGCTCCTCTGGTGATGAAATATTAGACAACACACCTTTTCTCTGGGAAGTGTGTAAAGTTGAAATTGATATCAAATACTCGAGCTTGTGTGAATAAAACAAATTCTAAAACGAATGAATCAAAAAATGTCTGTTAGAGTTTCCTTTTGACGTAGAATTATAGATGATTTAGCAATTATTTATGGTCAGGTGTTCAGGATCGACGTATTATTTACCAAATTCTAATAAACCCACAGCGCTTGATAAACTAAATGATCAGCGAAAATTGTAATAATGATAACTGATTATTAACGATAATATATTGGAATAATTTGTCAACAGTGCTGTTATAACATCTCGAGGCGCTTTGTACACTTGGGGTCGTGGTACACAAGGTCGCTTGGGACATGGCACAATTGAAAATTGCTTGACGCCACAACCGGTATCATTCAATGCCCATAATATTGAGCGGATCATTGATATTGCACTTGGTAATAAACTACTTTAATTTACTAATTAACATATATTATTCTAGTACCTATTCGATGGTATAAGTACACACTTATCACTTTCACAGTTGTTATGTAATTTGTATTATTTTGTAATCAGTGTGGAACTCATATTTTCAATTTTGATGTTTAAAATTAACTGGATTAAGACTGATTCATACAACCTGTTACATTGTTGAATGTTCTGTTATTTTATTCCTCATTTATATAAATAAATTTTAAAACATTTTATCGTCATCAGCCATTTAACGTCGCCACTGCAAGGGACAGGCCTTCCTTATGGATGATTAAGGATAGGCTATGACCATCCCCAAGGCGGATTGAAGGGTATTAACGACTGCAAATGCAGTCAAGGCTGACGGCTCTAAAAGCACGGAGTAGCTTGATATAATAATATTTAGTCACCCATCTCGTGACCGACCCTTGCGAAAGTTTCTTAACAACAACGATCACGGACCGCGGCGCGACTACGCCACAGAACCACAATTCGCGAGCTACAATGCGTTTGCGCAATTCAAACATTATTTTTTTTTATTTGTGAAATAGAATTTGAAATAGTGTATCTAGATGTTATCATTAGAATACAAATAGTTATTATTATAGATTGGGAAAAAAATATTTTCTTTGTAGGATGGGGTGAAAGTCAGACCCTGTGTTGTACATGGGAAGGCGCAGTTCAAGTATTTGGAGACAACGAAGCTGGTGCGCCCCGTACCCTTACCTCTCTCGCCGTACTTCGAATCACGCGTCTATACACTGGCGAACATTGGCACGCAGCTCTTACTGACGGGTACAATTATAATTTGTGTTAATTTAGCGTTATTGAATAATGTTTATAGTATGAAAAAATGTTAATAGACCACTTTATGTTTATATTTATTGAGATGTAAAGCGTTTATTCAAACGGAAGTACTTACTTAAATCACAACTGTAACCAGTATCCGACTCGAAGGACCAAAATTGTTATATGTTAAAACATGACATTTCTTTTGAATGTATCATTGACTTTTTTGTATTGCTTTATCGCAGAGGTCAAGTTTATACTTGGGGAAAAGGAGATGGCTATAGACTTGGTCATGGGAATACAGACACGATTAAAATTCCTAAACTAGTGGAAGCTTTTCAAGGTAAGCATTTACATTGCAGAAATTACTTTTTTTATGTATATCGTTCATTATCTTCCTTATTATTTGTCTATGCCTTGGTCTAATTAGAACAATGCATTTAAGGTTTAAAGTTAGTTGATCTATCCTTGGGTGCCTCTCATGGAATCGCACTGACCACCGATGGTGCTTTGTACGCTTGGGGAACTCACGAGAGAGCCCAAATATCTAGTCCGGTTCCACAATTGTTGCAAGTTTTGAATCCATCTTTCAAAGCAAGTGGTAAGTTAATACTTATTTAATAATAATTACTATAAATTAATGCGATGTAATGATTAGAATGAATGAATGATATTGTTGCTATGGAATAGATGTAATCATTTCTTTTTTTTACAGGTGCTACAAGTGGACCTACACAAATAATTGTTTGGAGCGAAGAAAGTCCTAGAGATTTACCTTCCTCCATGCCATTCGTTATAGATTTGTCAGATAACACATTCAAGTAAGTGTCATTAATATCCATTATTGCGAGAGTTAGCTTAGAGAGAATTAGCTTAGCATCGTTTTAAATTTTAATATACAATTAATAATTTTAGGTTGTTGGAGCGGCTATTACGAATAGTAGTCGAACAAAATAGCATTGCATCAATAAAGGAAAATGAATCTTTAGCTATTTCCTGTCTAAACCTACTTAGATTGCAAGTAAGTACATTGGTTGGGGCTTCTTTGTATTAATAAAAGTGCGCCAAAACTTATAACTGAATTTGAAAGCAGTTAGTAGTACCGACAAAGCGAAGGTTTAGCATACAGGTTAAATTAAAACAACAACGGAGCTTTCTAAATAGAAAAAAAAAACATTTTCGAATTTTAGTCTAGTTTATGCAATCGCTACATATTCACCGTCAGCTTAGTCTTATAATTTTAAATCTAATATGGCGGACGATACAAGATAGCGGCCTATAGTCAGTTTCACGGGGCATGGGTATAGTGACGTTTGTAAACAAATCCGTTTCACGCAAACTGTATTTCCAAATAGTTTCACAGAGTGCCATGGACAGAGTGGTTTTTTTAAGCATTTTTTATTAAGAATATTTTTCAGTAAAGAATTGTGAATGCAAAAATTATCAAATATAAATTGTTAATAGCCATAATTAGTGAAATCTAACCCTCTAAGTTTAAAACATCAATACTTGTATCGAAATTATAACTTTTTTAATATGGATTGATTAAATAAAATCGTTTTAATCGAGATATGTACTCAGTAATGATATGCAAATTTCTAAATTATTGTCGTCGTGACAATTAAACTTAACTATAATAAAGTTATATATATTTCTGAGTAGCTCGGTGGCGTATTGGATAAGCGCCGCGGTCCGCGATCGTTGTCGTTAAGCAAGTTTCGCAAGGTTCGGTCACGGGATGGGTGACCAAAAAATTATTATCACGAGCTACTCCGTTCTTCGGAAGGCACGTTAAGCCGTTGGTCCCGGCTCTAGTTGCAGTCGTTAATAACTTCCAATCCGCATTGGGCCAGCGTGGAGGTTCATGGCCCTTCCTCCTTAACCATCCATAAGGAAGGCCTGAGCCCCTGCAGTGGGGACGTAAAAAGGGGCTGATGATGATGATATTTCTGACTTGGGTCAAACGGTTGATGAATTAGTATTTTTCTTAAATCCTTTTTCCTTTTTCTTAAATCTCAAAATCGATTACCTCTATTAGAAATGAACTCAATAATATAGTAATAATATAGTTTTGTATATATTTTTTTTTATTAAATCACTTAAAATTTCATATACTAAACGTCACCGTACCCATGCTATGTGTAAAAGAGTTATTTACACTTATAATATGGGCATCAAAATAATAAAACGACTTCATTCTTAGTCCAATATGCTGGATCACACAAGAAAATAACTAGCGATCTCCTAATATGGGTATTATATGAAAGTGTACGCTGAGATCACGTATTTATATAAAAGCTTGTAATTAAATTTTAATGATAATCAAAAAAATATGCTAGGTCCACGCATGGCAGTGCTCTCGCGGTACAGAAGTGGAGTCAGTGGATACGGAGGCTCGATCTTGGTGTGCGGGTGTGCACTCTGCGCTGGTCGCACTGGTGGAGGGCAGGGCGGGTGCTGCGGCCGCGGCGGCGGCGCGACGGGCCCTGGCCGCCGCCTGGCCCCTGCTGCTGCCAACGCCGCAGATCAGGGCGCAGCATCTTATAGCGTTGCTGCCGCAAGGTAGATGTTGACTTTGACTTATGGCTGGTTTACATAAGTTAAACGATACGAATAAATACAAGTACTTACTTTCGATGCTAAGTACTTTTGACATAGATAATTTAAAACCGAGTAACAAGTTTTTTGAAATAATTTATTATTAATACATTTTAACATTATATATTATGTTACTACGAACGAAAAACCACGAAGGGACATAAAAACAAATTTAACGTCCACTTTCAATAATATAATCCTAACTTATTTATTTTATTCGGTTGGCTAACTGCTTGAATTACAAAGTACCTTACGCACTATTTGATAAGAGCAAATGACAAGCCTCCACAGCTGGAAAAAGTTGAAAGTGCTAAGAAAATTTTAACATATCAAAAACCCACTATAGTCCATTTCACATAGCATGGGTATCCTGAAGTGAGTATTTGGTCGGTCACTCACTGAGGTGTGTCGATAATTCTAGTGGTAAGACTGTTTACTCTGTGGTAAGTCTGTCACATTAAAAAAATCTTATAGGCGCGACGTCCCTGTCGTATGTAGATAGAAATCTGTCTAGAGAAGACACGGGACATCCTTGACAGTAAAGTAAGGAAGCGACGATATATCGGACTTTTAACGTATTGAGTAGATAAGTAGTTCACTATATAATTAACTTAATGGGTGCTTTACACGTATTAACTTAATAAAAAGTTAACTTTCTTTTAAATTATTAAGTATTTGTAACACAATAATCACATATATTTAAATGAGAATGTGTTGTATTTTATTTTTATTAAATTCTCATGATCTGATGACGTATACGTTTTGTCGTAATAGTCGTAACAGTGAATCTTATAATCCTAGGTTCGGTGCCAGCAAGTACAGGCGCCCGATTTATGACTGAATTACTCGTGTGGTCGCTTCTTGGTGGGGGTGGTCTGAGAGATGCCTTACGAAACGCTTTACAAACACATTCTATAGATGCTTACAATCATTTACAGCTTGATGTGTAAGTATTAAGCGAACGACCTGCCCTGCGATTCTGTAAAAATCCAAACCCGAATTTGAATTCACTCATGTATCACGTCATTTAGTGAAGAAATTCTATCGATTCCATTTTAAGTATAGAAATATAAAACAAAATTGATTGACTATACGTGTCTCAGATAAACTCACCTCACTTATGCCATGAAACGTTATTACCAATTCAAGATTGAGCGGATGCCGCTTTTTGAAGTGAATTTGGACACCTGAGTGAATTCGAAGTCGGGTTTGGATTTTTTCAGAATAGCAATTTTTTTCTCTCTCGATTCTAATACGTGAAAAAGAGAGAAATATCATTGTGTCGTTTTATTGTATTTTCATATTGCTGTCTTTACTTTTTAGGGATTATGATCAAATTGATATAGTTACTGGACAACGAACTACTCAGACTACTAACGGAGATGACTCTGAACCTCTTAGAGGTGAGAAAAATAAATTGAAAGTAGTGATTTATATTTAAAAGTTTTCAATCTGTAATATTTTCTTGGTAATGTAGTTGAATGTTATATTTCTTATGTTATAATCCTAAATAAAGATAACCGTTTGGTTTCTAGAATGCACTGAAGAGTATCAAATAAACAATGCTGTAATCTCAGACAAGGGCGCATCGGTGCCTTTAATGCACTTGGTATGTATTTTCATTGATATACTATTTTATATTGAGTTGAGGAAATTAAATGAATTATGTGTTTTAGGTGAAGCATCTTATTCGTAACACAAGTTGTCAGACACAAATGCATATTAATGGTATAATCAGTGGCGATACAAGTAAAACAGATGATCCAAAGTGCCACAACACCATCAGCCCTAGTTGTGATTTACTTATTCGATTTCAAAGGTAATGTATATTCTTATATTTAATCAGATGGACACATCAATTCACCTCTTTTTTAAAAGTTGCAAGCCTTCATTTTAGTTTTATAACATTTTTATTCATTAGATCGCGGTAAGTGAGTTAAATGACACGGTTAGTAGTTTTATTTGTAATCCTAATGAAAATACTTCAACAGGAATTAGGGTTTTACAAAAAAAAAAAACCTAAATTATTTCAAACACACAAACTTCATTTTACGATTTGTAATCATGAAAAAGTTGTAATGTTTTAAATTGATCGCTATAATTTTCTAAATACAAGGTATAGTAAAAAGTAATGAATGAATTTTGAATAGATCATAATTCATGGATCATTTCCTATCGCTCAGACCAGAACACTATTTTTTATTTGTGATAAAGTAACAACCAACTGAATGTCAGTTTAGTCCATCTAATTGAAAATCAGCGTATAGCATTTGATGAACAGCGAACTTTTTAATATTTTGGTTTCGATTATGTTTCTTATCTACGTATATTTACAGATTGTTATTCTGTGAAGCGATGTGGACACGTGGTGGGAGAAGTACGCGAGGCGGCGTAAGAGCTCTAATGAACCAATATACCGCACTCCTAGCGGAGCATGTCCAGTCCACGCTTAACATTTTCTGCCGAGCCGTCCATAGAGCTGATGATACTGAATTAGTTGCATTGTGTGATGTAATTGCTTCTGATATAGTTGGTAAGAATTTTAGGATGTAATCCTAATATATTATGTACTTATAAATGGGAAAATTTGGAAGGTATGTATGTTTGTTACCATTTCACGCAAAGAATACTGAACGGATTTTGATGAAATTTGGTATACGGATTATTCTTATCCTGAATTAACACATATGCTACTTTTTTATCCCATTAAACATTTCCCTAGAGCTCAAGCGGGTGAAAAGCGGGTGAACATGATGTGTTATAGACTATATCGTCCACTTGATCAAGTCTCCCGTTTATCCTTAATATATTAACGTCTGTGCACATTACTATAGGAAGGTTTACTCTTTGGACAATTTATGATCAATGACGGCCGTTAATATTTTGAATTATAACTTTTTTCGTATTCGACTTCGTGTGTTCGTGTTTTGCTGGTGGATAATCTTTCTTTCTGATTGAGACCGGCATAGAGTCAATATCTTAGAATTTAGTTGTGATTTTATGTATATTATTTGAAAATAAAATCAAGACTGAAGAATTGTACAAGTATTTCATTGCGCCATCCAGTGCTACTGCTGATCCCTCCATGTATGAACTCCGTCACGATATAGTGCCATGTGATATGTTACTTCGGGCAGTGAATAATGTAAATCTCGAAATAATCGGTAAAATCTATTTAAAGATTATTATTGAACATGCTTGTTTATTCATGATTTTTATGTTGTTAAAAATATTGATATTAGGACAAGATTTTCTATTTTCTCATAATGTTGTCTTAGATTTTAGTAGGCATCAATCATTTGTCAAACAAATTGTCATTTGTCAAGAATAATTTTGTCGATGTCTTCAATAATTATTTATATTCTTATAAAGAAAATGATAAATAATTGCATAAGTCACGTGTAGTGAATGCAAATAAAGAAAGTCCTTATATTAATATTTCTCTTAAGTCGTCAAAGGAGAATAATAATTTTAAGAATTTAGTTATGGAAGATAGGTCATCTTTAACGAGAGAAAATACAAATAATAATAGTTTTGTTCATAGAAAAATTCATGAACAAAATAAGAAAACATTAATTTTCTATAAAAATAATTTAAATTGAAATGTAAAATCATCAGGAGTAATAGACAAAATGTTCTTATATCGTATTCTTTCCAAAAAAGTTTTCGTAATAGAAAAGATAGGATACATTTCTTAAATTGCCCTAAGAAAAAGACAGAAAGATTACCCTATCAAATAATACAACCGATTACTAATAATAATGTTATAATAAGAAGGTTAGGAAATTATAGGATAAAGGTAGTTCATGCTAATATAATTAAACCCTTTAGAATTCGAGGAAATAGGTATCATGTTATTGTAATTTTATTCTTATTATAATAACTCTTATTATTATAAGATAGGTGATAGATATTTTAAAGTAATATGAATTTCTAAGTTTTCTCAGTCATATAATGATAATGTTAATGTTTTAGTTTCTCTTCTTTTATTTAGGAACTATACTATATATATAAGGATAAACGGGAGACTTGATTGGGTGGACGACATAGTCTATAACGCATCATGTTCACCAGTCTTTTAATGTCCTTAATACTGGGGCTCAGAACTTCCCTATGGACGAAATCGAAAAGCGGAAGCGGGCCCATTGTGGTTTGGTGGGTATTAATGACTGCAGATGCAGCAGGGACCTACGGCTGAACGTGCCTTCTAAAGTGCGGAATAATACACACTATAACGCATAAATCTATTTTATTTCGTATTATTTCTTAAAGTACTTATAGAAGTCAATCGAGTAACGCGATAGATCCCCTGGTCAATTTATTTGAATTTCGAATACCTAATTGAATAGTTATTTTTAAATTGTATTTTTTATCTGCAGGACGTGTGGTTAGTGAACTGTGCGCGTGGATAGTATCATGTGCGGCAAGAAGTGCATGCGCGTTAGCTGATTGCGGTCCCGCATTAGTGAAGATAGCACGAGCCTGTGATGAGGCGGCACGCGTGTTACCATCCGCGGCGAAATTAGATGCCGATCTACTCGGATGGCCGGGTCTGATATCGAGAAGACATCAATTGAACAACAGTGTTATACGCAAGTGAGTGCTTTCTAGCATATAACATCGCTCAGATATCTTCGCAAAGAATCCTGTCAGCTTTCGCACAAGTAATAAAATTTCCTCCGAAAACCTATTGAATATTGCTATATATTATATAAAATAACGTTGTTGAAATATAGAAGAAAAAATCTTATTATTAACCAAAAACTTTTAAAAGTTATAAGTTACTGCAAAATTCTACTATCTACGATAATATTATTGAAAAAAAATTGTCGCTTCTTAAGAAATTATTACTTCGTTAAAATAATTAAGAAATAAAGATTTCATAATTATGAAACACAATATTATTTTCCTATTTCATTAATACCGAGAAATATAACTGCAAAATTACTAAAAAATGCGATGTACCGACCATCCGATTTCAATTTGTATGGCCGTGTTGCGAGTTTGTTTATATATATTTGTAATAAGGCTCATAAGTGGTAATTATAATCATAAATTTACACTATGTAATGATAATTATTTAACTGCTAATTTTATATCTATAATTATCACTTATGAATTCATAGGATTATCAAACATAGTTTTTCCTTAGCTATATTTAGCTTATTGCATTTGAATGTATGCACGTAAAATATAGCTGAGACCTATTGTACCGTTTTTCATCAGGTGCGATCTACAGAACCACACTAAAGAGGGCGGATCTTGGATAATAGTGGGCGGTCATGTGTTCGATGTAGAGAACTTTGAATGCGACGATGCCAGTACAACGGAGTTGGTTCGTAAAATGCGCGGTTGTGATGCGACCGCTGCCCTCAGCGTTGAACCGCACGCGGCACACTTGTCCCGTATCACGGCTAAGTGCGTGGGATTGTATGCTGACCAAATATACAGTCACAAATGTCATGTTAGTAGCATGAAAAAGTTTAATTATTTACATTAGTGATCAGTAATATTTTAAGGTCGACAAAAACCTTTATAATATTTATATCCGTAAGTAATGCTTGAGTATTGACTTCGGTCGGATTGGCTATCGAAATAGCTTTTGTTTTATGAAAATCTGACACTATGAACGTGATGGATCCCGGATTCTCCCCTCGAGCGATTTTACCAGGTAGGTAGGTCTGGCTTAAACCTGTTCTTTTCAAGACGGTTGCGGGGTCAGAGCGCCCTGATTTAAGGCTTAAGGATATGGAATACCGGCGTATGAGTCACATAAAGAGATTATGAATTATATAAATAGTCATTTTAAATATTAAATGGAACTATCCCTTTTTTCATATAATTTTGTTTTCACCAAAGTTTTTTACATTTGCCTTAGGAGAGCAATTCCAGTCTGCGTTCTCATCATATATTGGCATCATGTGCATTCAATCTAGCGGTTGGTTTGACTCAATGTGGGTCAAGGCTCGCCATTTCACTTCCAGTGCAACAAGCAGAAAGAGATGCTGCACCCTACGCTGCTGCTGTGTTCCTTAGGGGTGGATTACAAGTTTGTATATACTTTCACTCCCGTCTTTCTTTCTTATTAATAGAATATATAGTTGTATGCTTTATTTTATAATAGTATAGTTTCTTTATTGATCTTTTATTTCCATGCTGCAAAAAACACTAAGATGTCAAATTGCTTTGTTATTAAATATTTGATTAGCTCCATATGAGTGGGGCTCCCTCCCTTTAAACATATATATGAATATGGATATGAATCGTAGATCCAAGGTTTTAGAAGTTGCCTTGATCTTCAATAAAAAAAATTGTTGTAGCTTTAGTTTTATTTAATTAAAAAATAATAATAGAAACTACTTTTTATTACTGTAATATACGAAAAAGTTACATTTACAGGCTTATCTATGTTACGACAATATGTCATTAGTAGCATATAATATAGGGTATGTTCCGATATACACTGCGACCACTGAACAGTATGACGTCAATTTAGTATACTGGAAGCCCGTTCGTTTATAGCTAGTTATACTGTTGACTTTTTAAAACGGAACGCAGTCCAGTATACTGATAATCCTATTTATTGGCGCCATTTTCAAATTTGTTAATGCAAGGTGAATATAAATATAGATTCCCTCTTTTCAAAAGAAAATATTATAAAAATGTGTATAAAAAAATATTTATCAATTAAATCCATCTTATAATAAACGTAAGTATTTTTTTGTTTATTTAGAAACTTATCATTTTCTGATTCTGTTTCGACTGATCACGTGATCAAAAGCACTGCGAGCACCTTACCTCGAAATCTCCAGTGCTCACAGTACAAATATGGTGGCAATTTATGACGTCATAAATTTCCCTAGGGTACTGTAGCAGTGTACTGGCAGTCCATAACGGAACGGATTTTTCAGCAGAAAGACCACTGCGCAGTGCTCGCAGTGTATATCGGAACATACCCATAGCTGTATATATTTTGATTAATGTTAATGACGAGTCATTGTTTAAAAATATAAATTTAATTCAGATCTCCCAACTCACTAATCCATTTGAAGAGGAGAAAGCTGAAGCCCGCAGCGGTTCATCGACAGGCGGTAACAGTCCTGCTAGTGATGCTCCACCGTCGAGAACGTCTAGACCACCGCCTCGAGTCAACGTGGCGTCGTCCCCCGCTAGAGCTGATGCTCTGTTATTCGCACTCGCTGAACCTAAATTACATGTAAGATTTATTTATTTACTATTTAATAATAATTTAATAACATTCTCAGGGTGCCAGGGACCAAGTGGATTTTTTTAACATTTTGTATTAAGAATAATTTTCAGTATGGCATTGTGAATGCAAAATTAATCAAAAAATTTTAATTAATAGAGGCATATAGAGGATTGTATTGTCTATTTTGTATCTAAACATAAATTAATAATTAACTAAGGTGTTCGGTTAAACTACATGATGTCATAACTTAAGGAATCTAAAAGATATCGAAAAGACAGATATCGCTTCGAAATCCAACCCCACCACGTTAAAAACACAATGACTATTACTTTATATATTATTATAGATAACTTACTTAATTTTGTTGATGCTTTTGCTCGATCATGTATTCATAATCCATGTTAATAACAATAACAAGGACCCCCTTGCGCTGCATCTCTGGTGGGCATGCGAGAGGCGCGAAGGTTGTGCTCCACATTTCCCTCCCGAACATCCGTTGGAGGAATTACGGAGGGCATTGCTCGCTGCTTTGTTATTTCACGCCGGCTTGAAGGAACATGCGCTGGCGACAGCGACGGCAGGTTAGAAAGAATACTACTTGACTCTTATTTAAAGTTCATTTTAAAGAACAATGGCGAACTCCCATATAGCTTTGGACCTGAATTTTTAAAGTCCCGTTCATGAATGAAATAAACGTGTACTTGAAGGTATAAACTAAAGTAACAAAATCCCAATCGTCTTTTTCCTTTAAAAGTTGGGGTTAAAAAGATATAGCATAAAATACTTTGTGGGGTTATATATTGCATCTTTGCTTTTTCGTTGAATGGCCGTTAAAATAAATAAAAATGGTAACCAGATTACTCCGTTTAATAAACAATATTAAGATAGTAACATATCTAACAAGATCCAGACACTTATAATAGATGAAACATTTATAACATATGACTAGACTGTGTGGAGTAGATCCCTTTGCCTTTAATTAAATAATTACAACTGAAAGTGACAAATAAGGGCAATGTACACATTGAACTGTCATTGATATACCGAATCGATTGCCATTCGGAATCCAAAAGTAATGCAATTATCAACGTTAGTCAAAGAAACATGCTTAATTGTCAAGTTGAATATTAACATAAATATCAAACTTCACGAACGAACACACAACAAACAAACCAAACTAATCATCCGCTATCATTCCACCATCATCATCATAGAACATTCATAGATGAAAACAGGCATGTCAAAATAAAATCAACCAATCGATTATTTAGAACAAAATAATCGATACGTTAACCTTTCATCGAATCAACTGCAGAACTGGCAATAATCTTCTTAAATCGGTTGTGGTATCTTAGCTTTCAATTTTTTTATTTCTCAAGTATTCAATTCGTAATTTGAACAAATAAAATAAATATTTATGAAAGTATTCAAAGATCGTATTTCATATAATATATTATATATAGATTTTTATATTGAATATATATTTGACGTTCATTCGCTCAGTCGGTACGCATCATTAAATCACATATCTCACTTATTATTGGCAGTTAATGACGACAGATAATATTCTATAGAACATGTTTAAAAAACTCGCGATTAATTGAGAATCGCTTCTGACATCTTTGATGTATGTGATCGATTTTTCAAAAACCATCCAAACTACAACCCTTTGACATATTGTGTGGTTTTCAATTAAGGAGAACGGAATCTATTCTATGTAATCTTATTTTGAATTTAAATTCGATTATTATGCGTATTAATGGTACTTTAAAGGCAATAGAATTAATTGTTATGTACAGGAAACGATAATATCCATTAAAATAGATGACCCTTTTATTATTAGATAAAGTTTTATTATTAAAGTACTTCTGCGTAGACCAGAACGTTTCTTAAGAAGATTTTCGCGTTTTGTTTTTGCACTATCATCAGACGTTTTGTTATCTTGATAATTATTAGCAGCATTTAATATTTTAGTTTGGTTCCCCGACATTAAAATTCATCAATTTGTAGAAATAAAATCTATTAATCATATATTATTTTTTTGTCATATTGCCATCCATGTACGGTTTTATAAATTATGGGGTCTGATTTCGCCATTCTTCTTTATAATATTCCGCGATATAATTATTTATGAATACCAAACAACTTTCCAATTAAAAAATAATTTAACTGAGTCACGTGACTGCAACTAAACAAGAGAAAAATGATGACATTGTGCAAAATGATAACACAGAATGGTATTTAAATAAAGCATTGGCAAAATAGCATGTGAGTCCATTTTAAAAATAATGATTCAAATTATTAGGTTATGATTAAATTTCGATAAAGTCAGCATTAAAAGATGGATTTTCGATGAATAGCCACAAATTTTCAAACTTTTCCAAGATAGTATGATTAAAGATAATATAACGCAAACACAAATAATAACAAAATATGTAATTTCTAATATAACAAATTTGTATTGATTTGAATCAATTTATAGATCATATTTTTCAAAGTGAATCAACATGTCTAGTTATCTGCCATTTGACTGTCAGTTTGAACAATTACGTCACAGACCATATTGCCGCGTTTTTAATTCAAATTTAAATGTTATTCATAAATCACGTTTTTATTTGCATTTAAAGTTGGATTTAAAATAGTTATACTATTTTTATAAGTATACTTAAACACAATATATGTATAATTTAAAGTAAGTTTTGAGATATTTTCAACTCCTGGATTCAATCAAACCTAGAAAGTATCGTATTTTATTTAAAGCTAGATTCCTCAAAAAAAAAAAAAAAATGTAACAACTAACTCCTCATAAATAAGGATAGGAACAATGTAGAAGGATGTCAAATCAAAGTCTCAATTTAAAATCAAATCACATATGAGAGAAGTAAAACGAAAAATTATCTTATAAAGTAAATTAGTTACTTTATAATTTATTTATTATTGTTTTGATTAGAAATGGAAAAGGGTGAAGTGAAACTGTCACCAGCTATGTCCGAAATTGTGAAAGCAATACAACAAAGCAAGTGGACCCTCATGAGGACTAGACAGCAGTTGTCACGTGGATACAAAGAGGTAATTATGCTATTGTTTGTGACCTTAAGTTTCATAGTATCCTAGACAGTCATATTTACACTTGGAATTTACTAAACAATTATAATCAAACTAGTAAAATCAACTATCAGCTAAGCAGGATCAAGTTTTACGATCTTTAAATATCATGAGTTAGACTGAACTCAAAACATTTTTATTCTTACGTATAAACACAAGATAATATTATGATAATCTGTGCAAAATAATGATCTTTAAAATTACTGATAATGTTGTGGACCGAGCTTAAGATGATGTACATACAGAAATGATCACGTTTATATCCTATTTCGATGATGTTATATTTTGTGTTGGCCCTTATTGAATTGTCGTAGTCTATTTTATGATATTCTTCGTTCTCAATAAGGTATGCGCTGCCCCATTAGAACGGGCACGATTTTTACTCCACGAAGTGCGTGCGGCCATGTCGCCTGCTGTGAACGCTCTACACTCTCGTCCGCCATCGCGTCGGCCTTGTACCGCCAAGAAAATGTTCCGGAAGGTTATGAAGGCCGCTAAGACTCCTAGTTTTAATAAATGGTAACATTTAAGTATCTTAACTATTTTTCGATTGTACCAATCACTTCATATTTTTTACCAATTAGCTTATAGTATACGTATTCTATATTGGATAACATTTGTTACAGTTTCGAAACTACAAAAGATTTGCGTAATAGACAAAATAGTTTGAGCAAAAGCATGCTCAAAGCTACCGGCAGCTTGTTACAAGGTGACGCTTTGCTAATTAAATCTTCAATTGCCAATGCAAGTAAGACTCCTGATGATGCTCCTAGTATCATCGTAGAGCATCCAAAAGGACATCTAGATGGCGCTGGCGATAAAGATGTCAGTCAAGCTAAAATAAAATTAAAAGTGAAAGATAAATTGTTGGAAAAAGATCTGAAAAACGCTTCGAATAATGATGGTATGCGAAATGAGGGACGTAGCGATTACAAAGTAACAGAAAGAGAAGATATATTAGACAAAGATAATGATGATAAAACTCCTACTAACGAAGTATCCATAAGTTCTATTAATGATAATACTGATAACTCAATTCTAAAAGAATCTTTAGAAAGCGAGAAACAGGTGATGTTACTCGCCGATGATCTCAAGAATGATCTCATTATGGCTGATGAAGAGAAAGACGATGATAATTCTGAAAGAAATAAGTTTGTTAACGCTTGGGTTTCGAAATTAGCTTGTGAAAAGAAAGGTAAAAGATAAATTGGTGTTTCAAAAAATATAATTGTGATGTGTTGTATTGAATAGAAAGTAATGTTTTCCATGTATTCTTTGATCAGATCTGTACTGGTTGTTGGAAGAAGTGACACCTGAACAACAAAGCTTAACAACGGCTGTGATTGATTTTGTAATGACTGAAGACCCCTGTGATATTGATATTCTAAAAAGAGCTTTGTATTGTCAGGTAACAAATTATACAATAGCATAGATTACACCTTCACTTGTGATAACGTATTTGAAGCGAAAATATTTTTATAGGTCCAAAGGGCAGAAATGAGAAGAAAAGGTTATTATATAATTAACAGTATTCTACATTCATCGCAAACAATGTCAGAAAGTGTGAAGTATGCGGCTTTAGCGGGTCTGTTGGGCGGTTCTATGGCCGATTCTGCACCTTATGCTCCAATTAAGCCGACTATTCCACTAACCCCGCCTCTAAAAGGCATCGAGTCTGTGATACCGTACTCAAAGTACATGGTGCTTTTGGAAAGGTCGAAGTTAATGGACTTTATTTTAATAGAATTAAAGTCCAGAGTTTTAGAAGGAGAACAAAGTCAACCTCTACCTTTGAAAATGAGTGCTAATTATGGTGCACATGCATTGTTGAATCGCCCGTCTAGAGCGAGGTTTGTAAATGAAAATTGAATTCTAAAATTAATTTAAAGTAATATGTGAATATTTTTGGTGAATTACACGCTTTGGATGTTTTCTTCTTCAGATTTCTAATTACATTATTGTCCCTTCTTATTGAGGGATGTCAAGGTCCAGAATTAGAACAACTTATTAACGGAGGTGCACTCAGCTCCTGTCTCAGTTTGCTGAAACAGATAGGAGGTGACACTTCTCAGCATGCATCGCTTATATGCAACGGAATTAAAACGAAATGTAAGTATCTGCATTATTATTGTGAATATTTATATAAGTAAATATTTAATACCTCTTTGTTTTTGCAGCGGATTGCCTAATAATTTATGAAGACGAAAGACTCGGAGCTCGCGCTCGTGGAGCGTCACTATCTGGGCCAGAGTTAGCTTCCTTGATGAAGATCGGCACTAGAGTTGTTAGAGGCAAAGACTGGAAATGGGGTGATCAGGTAAAATTACATGATCACATATCGATAAATTTGCGAAATCTTTCTACACTTTTTTTTTGTATATTTCGCAGTAAAATTAATTAGACTTTTGATGACACCATTCGACTATACGTCTATCTCTCCAGTTCATTATGAATCATTATGAAATAAAACGTTCAACATAATGTATAATTCGAATTACGTTGATTTTTTATTTTTATGATTTTGTTAAATTAGTTCACCTGTCGTAGTGATCGCAAAAAATCTACATAGGTTCTAGCTCCAAATTTGTAGGTCAATAAGCGAAATACGTTGTAATATTTAATCAATCAATATGTTTCTTTGCTGCCGTAATTCTAGTTTCGCTTTTATAAGTTTTTTTTTTATATCTATATTTGTATATATTATATATTTAAGTTTTATATTTGACTTTAAATAGGTTATGTTCAGCTAATCGGTTAATCAATGTTTGCGTCGTTCATTGAAAAGGTTAACCGTGCAGTTAACCTTTTCAATGAACGACGCAAACATTGTTTAAGTACTATGTACTTGTAGGACGGCGTACCTGGTGGAGAAGGTCGTGTAATAGGTGAATTAGGAGAAGACGGCTGGGTTCGTGTAGCATGGGATGCCGGCGGTACCAACTCATATCGCATGGGAAAAGAGGGCAAATATGACCTCAAGTTAGCCCGTTCACCGTCCCCGCCTCCGTCTGTGGATGAGACTATGCATGGAACAGGTATAACTTTTATTAGAAGAACTAATTCTAATTATTTGATTCGGAAATGTCTTTGGCTTCCTTCATAACTGCTATCCTTTATAGTATGTTCGCTGATCAGAGATATTTTTTCAAGTTGACCTTTCTGCCTACTGATCTATTGTTTTAGGTTCATTTTACTATGACAAAATTGGCTAGATGCTTCTGTACGAGCGCAATTATTGTACCTTATATTTCTCGAGTTTCCGGTATCTCAGCGCTAACTGAAGTTGTTGGGGATGGGTGTTATTGGCAGATAACTTACTGTATCTGAACTCGAGAAACATAAGGTGACTGACGAAGCGGTGATGTCATTTCTACGTGTGTGATACTAAGATATACTCCGTTTGAAATAATACCTGTAGCTGTTTATTTTAATTTATAAAACAAATATTTCGGAAAAATAAACATGTTTGCTTGTCTTAAAATTAAATCAAAATTTAAACTTCTTTTATAACTGCGAAAACGCAGTTTGTCATATTCATGATGTCATTGTGATACGTACACAAAACAGACGCATAGAGCAGAAGATTAAAAGATGTCAATAAAAAAAGATAAATATATAAATCTATGAAAATATTATGTACGCAAGAAAAAATTACGATTCCTTCACAAAAAAGCAGTGTTCATAATCTTAACACAAGAAATAAAAATAAACTTGCCGTTCCAAGCTTCAGATTTCAGAAAACCAGAGGATTATTTCTGGGTAAATGCATTGCTATGTTCAATAAAGTTCCACAAAATGTAATTGACCTACCCATAAATAAATTTAAAAATTCATGTAAAGAACATACTTATGAGTAAAGGCTATTATAAATTTGATGATTATTTTAAGGATCGCAATGCATGGAATGAATAGTCTTCGCTCTGTTCTATATCGATTAATTATAGGTACCAACCTATGTCCTACAGACTTTGAAACTTGTATTTATTATTGTTCAATATATGTATTATTTTGGTAATGACATGATTTATGTAAATGTCATTAATTATAATAAAAGCTGGTAAGTTTCTTTCGCTTGTTCTTCTTGTCAGCTAATAGACGTTTTGGACAAGTGGTAGAGAAATAAATGTTTTTGGACGATTCAAAAGTGCTTGTAATAAGCCTACTTGAATAAATATATTTTCATTTCATTAATCTAAAACATAGTCATCTAGGAATTTCATTTATAATTAATAGGTATATATTTATGACTGATCTGACAATTGTCGCCACAGTGACGTCACACAATGGAGGGATGTAACGTGTTTCCAGTCACGTAACACACAGACAAAAAATCGTGACTATTAATTTTAAGATAATAAGATAATCGTGGAATACACAGATTTTTGTGCTTGTTCGTGAATTATTTTTCACTACCGAAACTATCCTATTTTAGTTGCAGACAACAATATCGAATGGTGGCCAGTTAGTGAAGTACGTGGGGCGTGCACGTGCGTAATACGTGCACTGTGCGCTAAAGCGGGTGCCGGCGGTCAGACTACGGGCGTGATCAGTGCTACGGGCGTAATCAGTGCTACGGCCAGAAGGAACGTAGCAGCTCTACAAAGGAGACTGCTAGCTTTAGCGCATGCGCACTCTACTCCTCCACCAACTGCGTTCGCCGCTCATCATCATACCGCTCTCGCGTTACTAAGGGGTAAAAATTCTGTAGCTAAATAAATATATCAAGTGTATCCTACACTATAGATAAAATAATTTACACAAGACAAACAATTTTAATTTTAAGGTCTGTTCTTCCGTCCTCTGAAACTTTATGATCAATTGAGTTGGTACACATTTGTAAACAGATGACTCAATAACTGATTCGTGATGTAACAAATAAATTCTGAAAGATTTTACTTTTTATAACACTATAGGAAAAAAGTTGTATTATTGTTTAGATATATAAAATTCTCTTACATACTTTTTCTTATCTGTTAATTATTATTACAGCAAGTGCACAAAGTCCTGAGATGCGAATATCTCTATGCACTGATTCTTGGTTCGAGCTCTGCTACAGTATTATATCTGCAGTGGACAAACCTATAACGCAAGACCTTATCTATTTGCAAGTATGTATTAATCTTCTATTTTTAGACAATTCTTATAACAAAAATTATCATATTCAACTTTTTCTCAATATAGATACAATCGCTTTGGTTATTGCGACGTGTACTCGTCGAACACACTGGCAGTATTGAATGGAGACGTACTGTAGTCGCCCAAATATTAGCTTTGGTAGGGCGACTATGGCTTGAAACACATTCAGCTGACCCTGCATTGAGACCACATCACTACCTTCTCGCTGCTCCTAATGACGAGGAAGAAGTTGGTATGTTTTATTTACTTTTACTAACATACTATGAATCAGCCATCCATTTCATATTTCCTTTTTCTTAAATATCTTAAATTACCTAGTTCTAGGTTAGTATTTGTGAAACAAGTTCAATTAAATAAAATGTCTATTACATATACTTAATGAAAAATGCTTAAAAATCCACTTAGTCCCTGGCACACTAAGATGGGACTCGAACCCATGACCTTTCGCAATCCGGGCGACGGTTCTAACCACTGAACTACCCAGGACTGACGAATTTTTCAAGCAATTGTTACCTTTTCGCTACTACAGACCGTATTTTCATCAATGTTCAGGCAATCCGCCCAATCAGCCGAAATAAATATTTTTACAAATATTTAAACTTTCGATGAAGATGAAAATTTGTTCCAATTTTTATATTTATTATGAATGCGAAATTGATCAAATGAAAAAATGTTTTTTTTTGCAATTAGCTATTTAATTTAGAACAAAATCCGTCATGACAGCCAGTATGAAAAAGTATTCAAAGAAGTACTGGTTCAAAATAACCACTACACTTTTAAAATCTCTGTTCTCAGACAACAGATGGCGTGCGCCGGCGACTGCGAGCTATACGGGGGCGACTTGTGCCGCCCTAGTACAACTTGTTCGACAACTTCACTCTGCAAGTCAATGGCATGCACCTATCACTACTTTACTGCTGGACAAACTTCAATTGGCTGCACAACTGGTAAGTATTTTATAACTAGCTTTCCGCCAGCGGCTTCGTCCGCGTGGTCCCCAAGGGACTGATCAGCAACAAAAAAATACACTTTTAGGACTGAATTTCGCAAAATCTTGTCACAGTTCGCACCGATGTCCTTAAAAAAACCCAAGTGCATAATTTGAGTCTCCCTACCACTTGAAGTGACGGAAGTTTCATACAAACTATCAACCTCTACAAAAAAAAAAAAAAAACCTCTTAAGGGTCCTCGTAATTATGTAAATTTTGAAACTCCTTACGCTTGTAGTTTCTGAGATTTCGTGATGAGTGCTGATCTTTGGCTTTTGTGTACAAAGTAACATAAATGTAACCTTATTTCTATGAAGTTTATTTAGAACATTGTATGCTTATTATTTTTATAGGTGACAACAGATTGGCATTGGTGGCCGCATACTAGTCAAGATTTAACACAGACCATCAAGCCTAGTCCACCTAGTCTCGATACCTGCCTGATAGGTATTAACTCTTTCCCATTTTGCGATATTGTGCTGTATACCTGTTATATTTAAATTTAAAAATTGTTTACAGCTGGAGCGTTAGGTATTGTCGGTGGTGTAGAATATCGCATAAGATTAGGACAACGAGTTAGCGCAGGTTCTCCGCCACGGAATGCTATAGTTACGCAATTATCGCCAAGAGCAAAAATAACACTGGTATATGATGACAATTCTGTTACAAAGGTATGTTTATTAAATATGCTAGCTAGCTATAGGTATATTATCTTAGTAATCGAGCTGTCTTGTGCATTTAAGATATTAAACACGAGTTCAGTTCTCGCTTCTTGCACTTTTATCTTTTTTCTTGCGCTTAATTACATTGAATTCGATATTTATATATTATCGAAATGTTTTGTTTTTCTATTTATACAAAGAGTAATTATCTATTATGATTATATTAGATTTTATTGTGTCATTGTAGAATAGTATGAATAGTATGTCTGTTTTAAAAATAAGGTATTTTTTCAGACTGAACTAAGTGGAGTTGAAAGTGCAGAAATTGAACGTTTACCGCAACCGCTAGGTGGCGGTGAGAGTAGTCTACGTGTATGCGCTGCCTTACTCGGAGCGGGTCCTCACACGTCTACCATACATCCTCATCATTTACCTGGCAAGTTGCATATCTTGTGGTTATCTCGTTAAGTTTTACAACGAACGTTTACGTTACACTATTTCTCTTTTAGCTGAAGTGGATTTATTTGGACTTAGAAGACAACAGATGGAGCTACTGACGCTTTGTACTGTTAGAGGCTTACTTACAACACGCACACGACTTCGAAAGGTTTTGATGCAACCACCTGATAATTCTAGTAAGTTATATTGTATATACAGGAAAATACACATTATTATTTTTTAGAAACTTGTGTTTTATTAGTTTATATTATCTAATAAAAGCTAAAATAGTTTTTAGTTTAAATATTACTGTTAGGATATTTTAAAGGAATATTTTAGTTCTTGTTTACCTACATCAATTATAACAAGTCGATTCACTAAAATATAGTTATTAACAAACTATTTATGAACAAATATTTTTAATGAAAAATGCTTTAAAAATCCAGCATCCGAGGTAACCCGATATGAGACAAGATGAGTTTTATTAATAATTTTTGATAGGCACCCCGGATCGCATGTCCGTCTTAGGTACGGAAGGGACTCTACTACGTAGACTGCTTGCGCTTGCGACGAGACCAAGTCCATTAGCTGCGTCGCACTCGCAACGTGAACTTGCCGCCGCCGCCATTGCTATTGTTCAGCAATTAGCTGCACATGTCAACGGTAATTGGTTTTGTTATACATTCAATCTTTATTTATTTATTACTTAGTGCATAAGTAATTAATTAATGCCTGAGGCATTCTCTACCAGTCAACCTTCGGGTATTGTGGAGACAAATAAGTGAAAAGGTGCGCAACCAAAGGCAATATAAAAAAATTGGAAGAACAGATATCTGACACATACTATCATACATGTACCTATGTATATATCATACTTGTACCTATTTATGTATTATATATGTATTAGAGATAGAGACATTTTTTCTTTTTGATAATTCGTGATTGCATTGTATGATGATTCTCTATTTCTTACATAATAGGTGACGATAAAGATCACGAATCGCCACCGGACCTTCCTATTATCGATAAAAGCAATGTAATGCTATTGTCTACGGGACCATCCACGAGCACCGCATCCCTTTGTGAGTATTTGTATTCTGATATTTCCTATTATTTGTATTCCAAATTTTTAATACTCATAAATAATTATTTATAATTTTTTCAGCACGTAAAGACCTCAACACTTGGGCTAATTCCGCTCAAGTGCAGCAAGTTATTGAAATGGGTTTTTCTAGACACGCTGTTTATGCAGCGATTCAAGCATTAGGTACGAATTTTAGTTACCTACGTAGTTTCAATACATAAATATACTATGAGTTTTCAGTAGATTATCTTGAAATTCGTCTATGCTAATATTATAAAGAGAAAGATTCGATTGTTTGTTTATTAGTTTGCAACGAATAGATTCCTTCTAAAATTCTTTCACCTACGGGAAGCTCATCATAAGCGGTGATCATAGGTTATATTCTATCCCGAAAACAGAATAAAGAGATGAAGATGGATGTAGAAGTTCATATAGGGAATTCAAACGTTACCATAGTAACCTTCTATAAAGTTGTTTACTATTCAATTTGTCATTGTAATTATATGAAGAGATATCCAAATAAACCGTTCCCTAGGGAATTATAAAAGTGATTTCGTTACAGGTGGTGCAACTTTGCCTTCGGTGGAGTCATTAGTGGCATACCTTTTGGAATTACCTCAACAAGGCATGGATGATTCTGTTTTCGAAATAAAGCCCCACTTGACGAAGTTAGAGAAGAAACAAACGCCGTATAGGTGGCGTAGCTGTTTCGCCTCAGAGGAGGAGTACGCTCAATATTTGTCAGACGTCATCACTCCGGGAATGACAGTGCGCTGCTGTAAAGCTTACGAATGCGTTAGTATACTAAAAAAACAGAATGATATACTTAAAATTTTGTTTTAATCTAATACCTTTAAACGAGTAATTAAAAGTTAAAGTTAAGTTAAGAGTAATTACGAGAGTAAAAACGAGGAATATCGGAAACAACTCCAACAATTTTCATGAAATATTGATATTTGTTAAGTAGAGAGTTTTGTGGGCGTAAAAACGATCTAGCTAGATTTCATTAAAAAAGCATTATAATCAATTTTTTTAAATCACTACAATATTATAGAATATAAATTTAAAAATCACCACTGCTAACAGGGTTGTTGGTTCAGTCGGACATTACAGGGTTATAATAGCTTGGGATATCGTTATATCCCACACCCAGAAGGAGTTGTTTCGAATCCAGTCGACGGTAATTTTTTTCTTTCTTTTTCTTTTATTTTAAACACGAAAAAATCCTGATCGTTAAAAAAATAAGTATTTATAACATTGGTAGAGAAACCGACATACCTAGTGGAAAACTTATTTGAACCAACTAATTACTTTACCACGTGAACTAAAATTTAAAAATGGCAGAACCTGAAACCAGAATACGCCAGTTCGAGATCAACGACCGATTATTTTTTCCTCTTTTTGTTCTTTATTTTTTTATATAAAACGCGAAGAAAGTCAAAAACTTGTCGTTAAAAAAAGATATAAAATTAGTTGAAAAACTGACATACTTATTGCACAAAATGTTCATTTGGACAAACTTATTGCTTTACTACATTAATTAAAATTAAAAATAAAATGGAATTAATAAAGTAATTGAGAATTTACATTAACCCCAAGGATAAACATGAGAATCAGTTGGGGTAGACAGTCCGGTCTTTATGCACGGCGTATTATATATAGCATTTTCTAGAGTTATGTGACTAACTACGTTGGAAGTCAATCTTCCAAATGAAAATCCTCGACATACCCGCAATATAGTATTTTAAGTAAAAATTATTTCACCTACAGAAGGCTACGTCGTATGCAGGCGATATACCTTTATTTTATCCCGAAAAACAGCACATAAAGGGATGAAAATGGGAGTGGAAGTTTGTACCCATAGCGAATTAAAACGCTACCATTGTAACCATTGTTTACTATTGAATTTGTCGATCGTAATTATATTCGTATCATGATATGAATCCATATCCCAATCAATTTATTAGATTATTAAGCTGATTAGACAGAAGTAAATAATTTTGAGTTATACATATAAACGAAAACGTTTAATTTAGCTCTTGTCGCTAGATAACGCTACTGCTAACGCTATTTCTTTTTTTTATTTTTCTAATTTTAATAAAAAAATTGCGATTTTTTTTAATTAGTAAAGTACCTGGATGACCGTGCTTTGCTCGTCCTTTTTTGGTAAATCGCGTATTGATTTATGAAAAATATTATTCATATTTCATTAGTATTACATTATTCACAAAAAGCACGATATACCAAAAAAAAAAAATTAGCAAAGCTCGGTCACCCAGGTACTATAATTTTATTGTGAAATACCAATTTCAGGTAGCTCTCGGTGACGTTGGTCAAGTTCAGAAGGTGGAACGAGATATTAAACAAAATGTATTTTTACACGTAAGTGATCTTTTAATATATTTTTTTTTGTTTCTGAGATCCTACATTTAGATAAAGATGTTAATGATGAAAAAGAATCACCTGCATATTTTCAATCGATAACATATAACTGATGCGGCTTACGATGTATCTGCGTATACTTCGGTGGTTTGACGTACAATGAAGCGGGATATTTCTTTCACTAGTGCGCAAACTAGTATTGCGTCGAATATCCTTTTGGTATTCGGCATTTTTTTAGTATTCGTATTCGGCCGAATTATTCGTTTTTGGTGCCGAATATCACGATGAAAATATAATAGACATCAGAAATAAAATATATCGGTTACTCGGTTTATGAAACCATATTGCTATATATTGCTGACCCTACACCGTACAACAAACCATAGTATATAGTAATACGAATAGTTTTATTTCAATCCTCATTTAATACTTTGTCATAGACCATTTCCACTGGTCGATGTGTTTAGAACTAAAATAAAAATGTTTAAAGTGCTACTTTTTCCAATCGTAACAGGTGGAATGGCGTGGCTTGGGCCGTATTTATGGTTTAAGAGCAGTCCACGCAGAAGTGGTATCGGGCGGGCCGCCGTTCGCGGTCGGCGATAGAGTTCGAGTACGCGCCGCCGTTACACAGCCCCGGTACAAATGGGGTTGCATAGATCACACTAGCGTCGGCACTGTAACCGGTATGCAAACGTTAATCCAATATTCTTTTTTCAATATGATAGAATTTAGGGGGAAAATATATGATCGGCATAATGTAGTTTTATAAAAATTCAATGTCTATCTGGTATAAATTTTTCCAAAGTTTCAATATTCAAATATAACTTTTGCGACTCACGTTTCTTGTATCTTGAATCAGCCTTAATTGTTTCTAATTAAGTTATATGCGATTCCTGTAAAGTTGCAGTTTTGGAATTATCGATTTATTTTAGTTTATAGTAATCAAATATGAGTATAAGTTAATATTAGTTTTAACACATAGGCAGGAGCTATAGCTCCTTTGTAAATGTGAGCTCATTACTACAGCTTATGGCTGGTTTACACATATTAAGTTGATGAGTAGCAAATTATTAACTTGCGACTTGTTACTTAATTGTGTTTACACATACACATTATCAGCCTTTTTACGTCCCCACTACAGGGGTTCAGGCCTTCCTTATGGATGATTAAGTAAGATAGACCTTGACCCCCCACGCTGGCCCAATGTGGATTGGAGACGACTGCACGACCCAACGACTGCAAATATACCCGGGACTAACGGCTTCTAAGCTTGCCGAAGCACGGAGTAGCCCGAGATAACAATTGGGTTTTTTTTGGTCACCCATCCCATGACCGACCCTCACGTAAGTTGCTTAACAACCACGATTACTGGCCGCGGTGCTTATCCACAACGCTACCGAGTTACTCTATACACAATCATTTAAACTTAAGTTAACTATTTATCAACTTAATACACACGTATTAACTATCTTTAAAACTGGTTTCTTTTTTATCAGCTATTTCGAGCAACGGCCGTGATTTGACCGTGGATTTTCCTCAGCAACCTGGATGGACAGGTCAAGTCAGCGAGATGGAGCTAGTTACCGACCAGTGTAAGTAAAATTTTTCACGTTGAGGAATATTCATACTTCACACTTCTTGATGAACTAAGGCTGTGTGGCCTTTTTTTGTTATTTATTTGTATTTTTAATGATATAGCTGAATGGGGAGAGAGTGCAGGAGGAATGGCGGTAGGATGGCGGGGTGCAGTAAGAGCTGTGCGTGTATCGTCTTGTAGACCCGGCGCAGGCGCAAGACGTTTACTTGATGCGCAACCGCATACCTACTGGCAGAGCTCTAGTGGCACTGGCCAGGTGAGAATAAGAATATTTAAATATTAAGATAAAGTTTGTTTCATAGTAGAAAAACAGCTATTCATTCTGATTAAAATAAACAGTTTTGTGTGAAATAGTCTACAATACGGGTGTAGACAGTAAAGGTTTTTTTTTCTATTTGAGTTTAATATACTATTATTTATTACACACTGACTTCTATGCTTATTATATTTATAATATTGATTAAATTGATTATGAAGAAACTAATATTTATTGCTCGTTGTCACGTGACCCCGAACAGCGCGTGACGTCACGCCCGTTATATGAGAACACAGAGAATTCAACCTTATGCATACATATAACGATATATGTTTTATAGTGCCGTGACGTTTATGCGGGAAGTTTTGAAATTTACATTTAATTTTAGATTTTAGCTTATTATTTGAATTATATATTTTTTTAATATTTACAATATAAAAACGTAGTCTACACCCCTATTATTGAGTTTTTAAAATTAAATATAACAATTTGACCATTCTGTTACCGGTCAATACCGTAGCACATGTTTTTGCATGGCATGGCCCTATTACGGTCATAGTTATATACTACGTACGGGGTAAAACAACTTTAGACTTTATGCTTTCAACGTGATCTGTGCAAGCTCGTTGCTTTTATCAAATAAGCAGATTTTTTCTTTCCGTAGTCAAATATAGCGCCATCTCTGAGGTCCGATTCGCGGTCTGGTCTATGTAGGAAATGAACTTTCCTATATTGTCTCGGGTTTAGGTTTAATATCTTCGCTGACTCCCTATTATAAGGGATTTAGTTACCCATCTTGAAGTTTGAGCCATGTAATGTTGTCTAACATTTATTTATGTAATTAGGAATGCATTAGTAAATACACTTTAAAAGGACTAATTTACTTTCAGCATTGGATCCGCGTGGAGATGCGATGCGGCGTCCGCATCCGTCGACTCGGTTTGGGTGTAGCGGGCGGGGCCCACGGGCCCGCAGCGTTGGCTGTCCGGGCGGGGGCGAGTTTCGATGACGCCGCCCTCGCCCCCCTCGCAGCTGCACCATGCGCCCCCGCCCCCCCTCCCTCACACTCCACGAGGGACCGAACCCCCCACCATCTTACGCAGATACAGCTGCTAGCCGATTGTAAACAGGTATCAACAATACAGGAAAGATTTGTTTAGATGGGCTTGAAGTTGTTTCTATCGCCGATTTCACGGCTCTTGGGTACACAATCCTACCGAAACCACATGACAACTGAGGGCTTATTTTATTTGTCCTCGAACGAAAATTTGTAGTCGTTCTTATATATTTTTTTTTAAATCATATCTGTGAAGATTATTTGAAAATCAGGTACTATAAGATGCATCATTAGTTTATCCAAAATGTATTTCTATTTTATTAGCATGTCGAAAATAGACGAAATTCCGTTTCAGGAGAAATAGCATAGATATATAGAATAATTTAATAACGAAATGCATCAAAATGCACTCAACGTACGTACAATACTGTGTTGTTAGTTTAATATCATGTTTAAGCTGAATGCATACAATAAAATTTTGGTTTAATGTAATTAACGGTATTGACCATTGATAGAGTGCATTTTGGTTCAATGTAATATCAGAAATTGATGCAAGTGAAGTTATCGGGTGAAGTCGCAGATATACTGTGGGTACCGATTTTGCTTCCATTGGGCTCTCCTCCCGCATTCATCGTGAGGGATAGAACTGAACCAATTGGTGCAAATACAGTTGTTGACTGCCTGTAAACAGCTATGACAACAGCAAAAATGTAAATTATTGTCGCTAGATTTGAGTAATTTTTACTAATTGCTTTTGCATGAAATGAGTTTATAAATTGTGTTTCTTTTACTCCTCTTATCCTCTCCCTTTCTCAGTACAATTTTTAGCCTTCAAATTACAAAGTATTTGGCAGATGGCAATTACCAAAAAAAAATATTACGCCTACTCTGATGAAAACACTGATCCTATTAATATTACTCTGTACATTGTAAATAAGAATTGTATCTAATATTTAACTAACTGTGGCATGCCCTCATAATTCCTCTCTTGTGTTTTATTACAGTATTACCCATGCATCGAAATAAGTATCAAACAGAATCGTAACGTAAACGCTGACTGCCGCGTTCACGGTCTTTACATAACTGGATTCCGCCCTAATCCACTCTACAATGATATATTATTAGTGAGTTTTATTTTTAATGTTTTTAATGTAACGCTTAATTAATGGATAATTGTCAAACTTTTAGTATAAAGTTTACAATAATACAACAGGACATTTTGAACTTTACTGGCATTGTGTTATGAGTTAAAATTAGTTTTCTAGAAATTAACGAAATAACTCAACGTGTTGTTCCTTGTATAGAAACATTTGCCTAATTATTATCATTATCAGCAAATAAAAAAGAAAATCCAATTTTTATTGTGTTTTCTTTTGTTTCTAGAGCATGAACTTTATTGCTGAAGACTGGACGGAGAAAGAAAATACGACAGGAGCAGTATCATCCGATAATAATCCACCATCTTTGTCTAGCGATTCATCGAAAGTAAGTCTTAGTGATTTCGGAATAGGGTTGATATTCATGTAACACAAAATGCAAATGTAATATATTACAGGTTTTTGTGTGGGGACTAAATGATAAAGACCAGTTAGGAGGCGTCAAAGGATCAAAAGTAAAGGTGCCTGTATTTTCACCGACGCTAAGCGCTTTACGACCGCTACATATCGCTGGTGGATCAAAAACTCTTTTCATTGTTTCGCACGATGGAAAAGTAAGTTAATTATTCCTTATATAATATTGAATGCTGTATTAATTGAAATTCTCGTATAATGCTGCTACAGTGAAAATAATAGTTAAATTATGGTAAGGAACTCGGACGGTAGAAATTAATGGATTTATGTATTTAAAATCATTGATATAATGATTCGACTCATCCAATTATGTCTAGAAATTAACTATATCATATGAAAATATATGTATTTTAGTAAAGTTGAGTAGCTCGATGGCGTAGAGGATAAGAGCTGCGGCTGTTATTGTTAAGCAACTTTCACGGGTCGATCATGGGATGGGTGACCAAATAATTATTATCTCGAACTAATCCGTTGTTCGAAAGGCAAGTCCCGACTGCATTTGCAGTCGTTAATATTCACCAATTCGCATTGGGCCAGCTTGCAGGGTCACGGCCCATCCTCCTTGACGATCCATAAGGAAGGCCTGAGCCCCTGCAGTGGGGACGTAAAAGGGCCGATGATGATGATGTAAAGAAAAGTTATGCCAATTGAGGTTGATGTATTTTTAGATATTAAATACAAGAGTTACATTTTGCTTGTAGCTATACGCTTGCGGTGAAGGCACAAACGGCCGCTTGGGTCTCGGTCACAGCAACAATGTATCTACGCCACGCTCGAATCCTTACCTCGCACACGTACTCGTGCGACGTGTCGCGGTACATTCAGGAGGGAAACATGCACTGGCTCTAACTGCCGATGGAAAGGTAAGCTTCTAATAAAACTTAAGATTGCGAATAACGACGTCATTGCGTTTCTTATACAGGGTTATTTATATAAGAATAATTAATTAGCTGAACTAGAAGCCAATATCACAATCGATGAAGTTTATTCAGAGTTTTGATTTATTTAAATATTTAATTTTCTTACTGCTCGTGTAGCGAAACTTTCGTTTATAAAAAAAAACAGCGTCGTATCAATATCGTCATTGATAGTATAATAAAAACTAAAAATAATTATTGTTCAAATTATTGAGTTATGTTAAAATCTTAAAATGAACATTGTTTATAACCCTGTATAAACAAACTTACAAATAGCTTGTCTTGCTCATTTTAGTATAGATCTTATATATGAATATGACTATTGACAGGAAATTTACAAATTAATTCAGCTCTGTACTCTTCTTAGATTATTATAAATACAACTAGATTCTTAGATAAAAATATAATCCGTTTACTTAGGTGTATTCATGGGGGGAAGGTGAAGATGGAAAGTTGGGTCATGGCAACCGAATAACATTAGAAGTGCCAAGGCTAATAGAATCGTTGTCGGGTGAACGAGTCGCATGCATAGCTTGTGGTTCAGCGCACAGCGCCTGCGTTACCGCACGTGGACATTTGTACACGTGGGGTCTTGGAGAGTATGGGAGGCTCGGTCATGGCGATGGTACCACTCAACTGCAACCCAAGATGGTGAGAATTTTATATTATAAACTGTTAATTGCCCTATAGTTTCCTTATATTTAACTGGACTTTATGATATATGACTTGGAGATGTTGGAATGTCTTGGAATTTTTAGCTCTGTATGATAAAAAAAAGCAGTTATAATATAAGAAAAAGATCAAAGAATATTAGTGTTTAATATATTAAGAGATTTGTAAATAGGTACAGTCAACAGCACGTCCATGTAATAAAAAATCTCAATTTAATTTTAAACCTTAATGCATTGACCGGAGAGTTCTAAATCAATTGCCGAACTAAATCTAACGTCCTGCTGTGTGTACATTGAATTCTCAATCGCGTTCTCTCTCTCTCTAACTAAAATTAAGTTAAATATCTAGTTAAAATTAGTCTGTCTAATCTATTCTGGTTACTGTCCATAAAAATTGTTCACGTTCTTTTTTTTATATATAATATTTTTATAATGTTATTGTCATTTATAGGTGGAAGCTCTTGCTAATTATAGAGTTGTGCAAGTGGCTTGCGGTTCACGTGACGCACAAACTTTAGCGTTGACTGCTTGTGGTAAAGTTTTCTCGTGGGGAGACGGTGATTTTGGTAAACTCGGTAAGTTTGATACGACCATTAAAAAATAATTAAACCGCTAAAATGTTGTGATGGCTGGTTTATGTATTCTGTTAATTTTCAATAAAAGTTAAAAGCCTATACTGAATAAACTGTATTTTCTCTACTCGTAGGAAGAGGTGGTTCCGATGGTTGCGCAGTTCCCATGAACATAGAAAGACTTAATTCACTGGGTGTGATTCAAGTGGAATGCGGAGCACAGTTCAGTTTGGCTCTTACGAGGGATGGAGAGGTAAAAACAGAGTAGACAATCAAAACGACCGCCTAACTCCTACAGCTATAACTCTAGCCATATGATACGTCTTCTTAATTGTATTATACCACTACTTAGTTTCATTTAACTACTTTTACATGTACACGTAACTAAAAACTAATGATAAAGAATGATGAATATAGATTTAACAGCACTGTTACCAACTTAGTCATTTATGCCTGATTTATCCACCAAAATATTTGTCAGAGTAGTAAAATTAAATGCAATATCATCATAATATTCACTAAGACGTATCATACGGCTAGAGTTAGGTGGTCGTACCCGATATCTTTGTAAATCATTTTAAGAACGTGCTAGTTTGTCTTGTTAAAATTTGACTACCCACCCACATCTATTGTTTGGTCATATTAGTTTTTGAAAGTTTATTAGCTAATTTTCATATTATCTTTTCTGTTTATCAATTCATATTAAATTAGGTATGGACCTGGGGTAAAGGCGACTTCTTCCGTCTCGGACATGGATGTGACGCGCATGTACGTCGGCCCACACTAGTGGAAGCATTACGCGGCCGGCGCATAGTACACGTGGCCGTCGGAGCGTTGCATTGTCTAGCTGTCACTAGCGATAATCAGGTAGTAATAATATTTTTTTTGTTACGCAATTGTAATAAGAGACATAACAACAACAATGTACGGCTATATATGTACAGTAACAGTAAACAAAAGAAAAGGTAGTATATGAATCATATAGAAGCATATACAGCAATCTCCACTCGAGGCGTTTTTGAGAAAAAATGATTTTTGTTTTTTTGTGTAAATTAATTTATGTCTTTTTGAACAAAGTCTATTGTATTTGAAAAGGGATGTTATAATGTATATGTGCTAGCGATTAGATGATAAAAATACTAAATGATAATGGTAAAATATTGAGAAAATGAAAGGATATTTCTGTTTTTGTTCTTGACATTAGGATATTGCTGTGTTTGAATCTTCTACTTTGGGACATTGCTGTCATTGCACCTAAAGACGCCATATTTAAAGCTGTGTATAGTAAGAAGTATGAAATTAGATACTTTAATCAGCTTAGTAGTTAATATTTTATTTTTTATTATTTAACACACAAAATTGATAATAATTTTATTTATGAAATGAAAAGTTTCAAATAAAATCAAAACTTATAATAATAATAGTAAGTAGTTATGTACTTTTAAAAAACTTTATGAAATGTATTAAAGCAGTTTATAGTATTATTTTTTTTAGGTGCATACTTGTGAGAAACGTGATCACCACCTCTTTTCTCTTTAAGTAATGCACCCGTTTTAAAATATTCAGTCAATACTGATTGCACCCTATATTTGGTAATTTGAAGAACTATTAAAAAAAAAATCTGTCAAACTTGATCACGTTTCTTCAAAGTGGCGCTAAAGATAAAATGAGAAATTTGAGAACTTTTTGGCTTATGACTAACAGTCTTAGGACGACGACGTTAAGTCTGTTTAACTGAACAATGTTTTAATATGAAAGCATCTTGTTTGCTTTCAAAAATTCTTTCAAAAATTCTTTAATATCTCTCATTGAAATTGATAGGCATTCAAATTTTTTTTATGCTTGCACAAAGATCTCATTGGCAACGTTTTTGGGGAATACCTAAAACAAAATTATATATAGAAATGTACGGTGGCTAACGCATCGACCTGCACCAATCTGTCAAATTACAATACAGCTTGAACCTTATAATCTTCAGTGAAACTTATTATATTGTATTAAACATTGTATTTATTGTTTTGACAGATTGGGTGGGTTGCTGTGCTGGTGACTGTACCTACATAATATTACTAATAGTAATAAAAAATGTTGTATATTAATTGGATTTGAAATCTCCACTCCATTTTTTCCAAAAAAGTATCAAGATAAACGAAGTACTCTATAAACTATTAAAACTAACCTCTGAACTTTAGCGATATTCCGTTTCCAAGCATTGGGGTTGCGCTGCCGTTTTCTTGCGGAATTCTTAATGGCAAGTGTAGAAAAACAATCCATCGTAGCAGTAAAATAACTAAATTACTTTGAAACTTGTTAAAATCTAACAAAAATAATAAAAACCATAACACGTATTTTCGCCGTTCAACCGTTTTCGCCATATTGAATAATGCTCTATGATTGGCTAGTTGGGATATTGATTTGGATTTTGCTAGTTTTGGATTGAACATTAAAAATAAAAATATGTTTTTATATGTGATAATGCTATTTTAGGAGCGCTTTTACTTTAAAGAAACGTTTAGAATTTTGCACAGATGGCGGCGCTATTATTATGTCTGTTTGACAAAAAAGTGGATATTGCTATATTTGCTTCTATATGATTCATATGTAGTAATGACAAAACTAATAAATGTATAAAACGTATATAACAAACAGAGCGAGAAGTGGGGGGGGGGGGGGGGGGGGTGACTTTCAATTTATACTTTTATTTATTTACTAGCTGACCCGACAGACTTCGTCCTGTCAAAAAGATTTGTAATGTGGCAGTTTTTTTGCCTACGTATTTAAAAAAATTCTCCTGAACAGAACCGTCACCCTGGTGATAGGGCGTTGTGAACTCCTCCAACTATGTATTCTGTGCTCCAACGCACACACGCACATTGTTTTGATAGATATGATCTTTGACGTTAGGAACACACCTACATTGCTTAGACAACAGTGAGTGCTTGTAATTTAATATGAACTTTATACCATAGTAATAAAGCTCAAATTGACTACGTTTTAGTTACAAATCATTTGTATGGGAAAAAGAAAAGGGCTATTTTTAGGGTTTTTCCAGCAATAATTCTAATTTTTCTCGCCGTAAAAACCATCCTTGAACTTCAACGAACATTTTAAAAAAAGATTTGGCCAAATTGGTCGAGGCGTTGTTGAGTTATGCGCTTACCAACACATTTTGCGATTCATTTTTATATATAAAGACTATATATTGCTGTTGATAGCATTCTACATTTCCGTGTCGGTATGAAGGTCAGATTTAACCAATGCCAGTTCATGCTTGATAGTCTTTTATTTATCTACTAACTACACAACATTGAAACATTTTTAGACTATCGTACTAAACAAGATATCCTTTAGAAACCTATGCATACGCCGGCTTTTGCTCTTTTATATAAACAGTAGTGGTCCAAGACTACGTCCAATATATACAGTAACTTTAAAAGACCCGGCTGTGCCACTGCTCATCCTGGCATCCATGAAGGACCAAATTCGTTTACGCCGTACGCCGTCTTGGAAGTATCCATTTAGTTAGGTAAAGTATTAAAAAAGAAACTCGCTGCACTCCAGATATTTCTTATGTGTCACAATATTAAGAAGAAACGACTAAATTAGTTTAATGATTCATTTAATAAAGCGAATTTGAACGAAAGACTAACGAATTAAAAACTCACATTTAATAGCAATCTTATAGGTATAAGCATAAGGTTTTTTTATTTAATATACGTCAGGCGTCCGTTCACACCATGATTTCAAATACTTGTTATCAGGTTTGGGCGTGGGGAGATAATGATCATGGTCAACAAGGTAACGGTACTACTTGTGTGAATCGTCGTCCGGCCCTCGTTGCTGGAGTTGAGGGGGTACAGAGGGCGGCAGCGGGTTCATCACACTCGGCCGCATGGTCTATAAGACCTACGACCCATACAACCATCGATGAAACAAAGTTTCCACATATAGCACCATTGCCGTTTCCTACACTCAAAGACCCGTTGGGAGCTCAGAGTTTAGGTGAGTACATTTTTTAAAGTTTAAATCTATGATTTACTTAGACTTCCTTTAACTATATAATTTGTTTATGAATTGAAGTTAAAAAACTGATTTAAGTTAAAAAAAAAACTTTTACAAATATTGTCACTCAATATAATTTAAAAAACCAATTTACCAAATAGTTAATAATTTATTTTATAATTTAGGTTTATATTCTGATGAAGCTGTTGTAGAAGAACCACAAGGACCACGTCCTTCCCTCGCGGCCGCAGCGCTTGCGTTGGAGCCACCAGTGGCTGTACAACATGCTTTGTCTCTGATATTGCTTGCTTTACATATAACGCAGGTCAGTAATTTACTACACAAACCGTTGATGACCGAACTTATATTTTATAATAAGATATTTGTTTTTTACCGTACCTATTATGATGCTAGCTGTATTACTCCTTTAAGAAGATGTTACCATTTCTCGTCAGGCACGTTGCCTTTTAGTGGAATCTCTGAGAGCGCACGAGGCGTCTGCAGCGGCTCCTGTGTCCGCTTGTATTGACACTGAAGATGAGGATGGAGATGGTGACGCCCGTACCGGTGGTGGGGAAGCCCCGGCCGATCGAGCCACGTTGCCTGTAAGTACCTGAGTATTGGAGTCTTTGTTCTGTATATGCGTTTACATACCAACAGGAATGCGGACTGATTATTTCTTAAGTTTTAATATACAGACTGTAACGTTAGTAAAAAATTGCAATTATAAGACATACATGGACCTGTTCGTAGGAACAACGTTTTTGATTTTAGTGAAAATAAAATTGCGTATATGAATGTCTAGACTCGATTCCAGAACTGAGAACTAGTTATTTTTTAAATGAACAAATGCAGATTTTCTTTTCACTTATTCTTGTCTTTTTCTTTATTTTTGTTCCTTAGAATATACTCCGATTTAGAATATACCCCGATATTCTCGAACGCCATCGCGACTGATCGACATTGCAATAGTGCTGCTCCGCACTCTTGATTGGTTCACTAGCATACTCTGGCGCTAGTGTATCCAATCAAAGAGTGCGAAACGGCACAATTTTAATGTCGATCTGACTTTCGTTGATTTTTCTATACTGACCGTCCTTGATGTTACACCCTATATAATTCACCGTTCCCACCCTCTGAGTATCGCTAGCAAAGTCAGCAAATATGTGTGGCCGCACCAGTTGCTATTATCGCTTCTGTATTTTGTTTAAATCGTTGTTTTTGTTTTCTCCTAGTATCCATTTTTTTAAATTTACAATATAACAATAATATGTATTTTCATATAATATCGAAAAAAATACCACTCTAATTCCTCTTTTCCTTTACAGCCAATATATTATGGTTGTTTTATCCTATCCTTGACATTGTTTTATTATGGAGTTACATTATCATAGAGTGGAGCGAGCAGCCCTCTGAGCGGTTCTATATCTTCTCGACACTCGGCCGTCATGTCGTCGAGCGCAGTATCAGTAGCCGCCGCTACCATGACCGTGCAGCAAGCTGAAGCACCAAAGGTACTTGTTTTATATATTTTTTAACACCTTTGCTCGTAAAGCTGTTGTAATTCCACCGGTTTTAAATATGTAAAGCGTGTTATAAATAACGCGTGTGTTACCAAAGCAAATAGTTAAGTTATAGTTCATACAAATTCCATAACAGAATTATTTGCCATTTCGCGTGCTGTTGCTATTCAAATTTCGAACTAATCGCCGCGCGGCACCAGTCAGTAGGCAGCGCTAGCGCGCTGTTAAAATGGCGGGAAAGCAACAGTGTACATTCACAGATTGAGTTTATTTAATGTTTTTTTTTTCTGTTTCCTCGCAAATATGTTAAAAAACGGCGTACGATACACGTGCGTATTGGTTATAACATGCTCGGCTCAATTACGCCTAATATCGTAATGTACTATTTCAATGCAGTTGCTCATAAAGCGCTATTTTTTTAATCCATTGTAAACACCGAAAGTGAGTCTTTAAACACGTGTTAAATAAAAATGTACTGAATCCTTTACGCTCCAGAAAAAAATAATTATCTTATAAGACTGGCAAACCTGTGAGTACTTCGAGAATACTTCGTTAGTACAATGAGTACTTCGTTGTTAACAATGAACTAATAATGGTTTATGATTATTAATTTATTAATAACCTATTTATAAAATAATAATGTTTCCAAAACGTTATTTTAGTTGGTCCTAGATGAGTTCACGTCACAACTAGGCGAATCTGACGCGAGAGCTTTAGTAGACTTGCTTAAGTTGGCAGCGGCTAATCGTATACCAGACGCAAATAATGCAGTAAAAATCATCACTGAAGTTCTTATGGGTGAGTTTTATTTTAACTTATAAAATTGATATTCATCACCTATTAATGCAAAAACTGCAAGGTCTCATGGCTTCTCTATGGATGGAAAAGAATCAATTGGAATAAGGGGATGAGCCATATATGACCCACAACGCGAGCCAGTGGTGATTGGTGGGTATTAACGGCAGATGCAGCCGGGACCGATAGCTTAACGTGTCTCCCGAAACACGGAGAATCAGCTATCGTATGACCGAGCCTTGCGAAGGTTAAATGCCTATCGCAGATCGAGCGCAATAACCAGTGCGCCATCGAGATAGCTCGGTGGCGTAGTGGATAAGCGCCGCGGCCCGCGATCGTTGTCGTTAAGCAACTTTTGCAAGGGTCGGTCGCGGGATGGTTGACCAAAAAATTATTATCTCGAGCTACTCCGTGCTTCGGAAGGCACGTTAAGCCGTTGATCCCGGCTGCATTTGCAGTCGTTACCCCCTCCAATCCAGCATTGGGCCAACATGGAGGGTCATGACTCATCCTCCTTAACCATACATAAGGAAGGCCTGAGCCCCTGCAGTGGGGACGTAAAAAGGGCTGATGATGATGATGATTTTCAATGTTATTTTGTTTTTATTATACACTTTTGTAGCATTATGCGCCAGTAAACCTGCAGTCGCGGATATGGTGGTGGAAGTTTGTGTATGTGAACTTGAAGAAGCGGCCGCGGGCGGAGGGAGGGCTCCACCACAACCAGTAACAGTCGATAGCCCTCATCCTTACGCTGATGATACTGATATATCAGGTGAGGACAGTGTCAAATAGACTACACGTTACTAAAAGGTAACGAAGCTATCATCTATACAAATAAATAAAATTGGAGTGTCTGTTCATAATATTAAAATTTTACCGCTTTTTACTAATGTATATACACGGTACATTAACAAAAATAACATTTTAATTACATTTTTTGTTTGTCTGTTTGTTCCTGCTAATCTATGTAACGGTAGGACCGATTTTGATGGGACTCTCACTGACATGTAGTTTATGTAACAAGGGTAACTAAGGCTAAACGAACACACGGATGAGGTCGCGGGCACAGCCAGTTAATAAATATAACATATTGGTAATTTCACAGTTAATGAAATCAATAGATCGATAATAACTTAGAAGTCAGATAATTACGGCCACATTTCGCTGTAGTCAAGTTTGATATATTTCATAGGAAATTTGGAATTAAAATTTAAGTCAATTGAATCAATCAGCTACTTTTCGAGTTTTATGTATAGGAACACATGGAAGATGATTTTTATTGTCCAACAAATTCTATTGCTAAGACTTTGCTGTTTGTCACCAAGACGTATCCCATGAACCGTGAAAGTTAGACAATTGAAAATTTCACTAAGAAATTATTGCTGTTACCGCTTCTACATCAAATACCAAAAACCAGAATAAAATAAATATTTGAGGGGGCTCCCACACAACAAACGAGATTTTTTTGCTCGTTTCCGGTACGGACCCTTCGTACGCGAGTCCGACTCGCATTTGGTCGGTTTTTATATATAAATGTTATTTACGTCAGGCGTGGTGAAGATTCCGGGAGCATCATCGTTGCGAGTTACATTTGAACAAGGCTGTTCAACGGAACGCCGCAATGACCCACTAACTATCTCGGACTCTACCGGTCGGGTTCTCGCTACCAGGTCCGGTAGAGAACCATCGGACTGGTCACAAGAAATTATTGTCGCTGGTATGTTTTGTCTATACTAATATTATAAAAGGGAATATTTGATTGTTTGTATATTTGTTTGCTTGCATCGTATAGGCTCCGAAACTATTGGACCGATTTTAAAATTCTTTCATTTACGGGTAGCTACATCGTACAGGGTTGACATAGGCTATAATATACACGTGCGAAGTCACGGAAAAACAGCTAGTTTATTATATTTTTTTATATTGTATTCAAAGCAAAATAACTTCTATTGCGAACTCATGTAGTTCTTCTGTTTTCGTCTCCTAATTTATTCATCAACAGGTCGATTTTTTTAATTCTCTTACAAGCAAACAAACAAACAGAATGCGTAGTATCTACACTGGATGAAATATATACAGAAATCTCTATGTAGAGCCAGACATGGCGTGGTGAAACGCTTTCGATAAAAGTACACGCGATCGACGTAAATTCATCTTGCCATGCTTTCTGTTTGACGGAGACTTTAATTTTGTTCAGTACAAAGTTTGAAATAATAAATGAGCTGTTATTATGACTAATGTTCGTGAAACGCGAGACCAGTTTTTCAAGTCAATAAACCCAGTTAGTGCTAGTAAATTAGTGTTTCAATCTTAGTCAAATTATTTATGGCAAGTCATGTTAAAATAAAACTATTCTTTTAATGTTTCTCCTCATGTGACGCCCTGTATGGGTTAAGTAAACATTACTGTGCCATTATTTATGACTTTGGTGTTAAAGTGCATATTATTTAAGATTAAATGTATTAACAACCATTTCAATGTTTTATGGTTTGTGATGAGTAGTCAATCATGTGTGTAGTGTAGAATTCATTGGTTTATTTTTTAATTTCATTTGACCAATAAAATAACACTATTAGTTACGTCTATATATTAGAAAATAAGCTAGATCTGCACACGTGAAGATAAAGAGGCACTAGCTTGCTAGAACTGGGTGCAATCCTGCCTTAAGAAACTAGCCTCCTGTAATCTTCAATTGCATAAATATTTGTTATAGGCGATGAACTAAGGTGGCGTTTCACAAGCGATAGTTCCGTCAATGGATGGGGATGGAGATTCACAACACATCCCATACTTCCATCCCATTCCAACACTGTAAGTAATATTATTTAAAAGATAAACAGTATAGATATTATTTAAAAATAAATAAATCACATTATCAAAAAAAAAAAAAAGAAATTGTTTGTAATCATTTTCGTTTCGTTTACTAATATTTCTGCTGCAATCTAGTAGACTTCTTCGATACTCTGTGATGTCTAGAAATTATTGAGAATATCGAAACTACCGTGTATTGGATGATCTTTACACATAAAGATTAATAAGAGATACTACACTAGTAGTTAGTGTAGTATTCTCCTATAAGAGGTACTTAAGATTGTCATCATTCCGCAGGATAGCGGGTCAGACCGTTACGTACTATCCAGTCCTTCCGTGGAATTAGCTTGGAGGTTACTTGATGGTCCTCTTCTAGCTACAATATCGAACGATCATCAGTTAGCGCCGCGGCTAGCGCAAGCCTTAGCTATATGTGCGCAAATGCCCACGTTATGTAAGTAAATTATTTACAAAGTTTTGATTTAGGTAAGCTTCGCACAATATTTATTCAGGTAACCATAAAACACAATATGATGTGTACAATCTTAATTTGTGATTTTTAACAGACTTGTATAGATCATAAAAAAATAATTTATGTTTTTTGTAGCTATCTGGCGATTCAAAAGTACTTTTAATAAGTTTATTTGAATAAAGTTTATTTTGAATTTGATCGCACTTTGAGATCGGATATTAAGCTTTTCGTTCAATTCTATACTTTACCAAATTTCAGAAAAATCACAAATGATTCCGAAATAATGTCCATATTAATCTATACAATCGATGATCTACTCCGGTCACTTATTATTTTTATTTTATATTTTCAGTGCGTCTTAGGTTTATCCTTGTGTTAAAACAAATTTTGTTATGTTGAATTGTTTGTAATATTATGTATCTAGCTTGGCGTGGCCGCGTATGGTGTGTACGTAGACTACGAGGAGTCGTATGTGGTTTGGACGGTGAAACAGGGCCGCCGCCACCACCCGCCCTCACTCACTTACCGCAGTTACTTCAATCGCAGTATGAACACGAAGAGCCTGCGCTAAGAATCGGAACGCATCTCATGCACACGCACTATCTCAAAGTAAGATATTTGCTTATACATAACCTTTGGCAGCCCAGAAGTATGCCGGTTTAGTTTAAAAAGATTTACTATACTCTGTTCCTGGCTACACTCCCTTTAGAGCACGTCGACACTGTACGGGTCGCATAAGTAAACTAAAAAGTACTTGAAGTGTGAACACTACCGTAGGGCTTATCATTAACCAATCACAGGCAAGGAGTGGGAGAGAGGTAGCGCTCTACTAACTCGACTCCAGGAAGTATAGAATAGTTATTGGATGGATGATTTTATTTTATATACTATAAAATTATACCAAACCCGTGATAACGAAGCTGCAAAAATATTTAGTAATACTAAGTTGAGTAATTAATGTATAACGATGAACATGGTAGAGTTAGAGGCGCAATACTTGTAATTCAACAAAACGTCTGGTAATCCAGACAAATTTCTGCAATAGATATTAAACTTTAATATAACAGTAGTTATGATCCAAATCGTTTTATTCGTACAAAAGTTTAACTATTTTTTAATTTAAACATACTCCAGATCTGTTATCATGAATTTTATTAATAGTGTTTTACAAGCACTTTATTGTATGACATGGCCAGAAATCGACGTCCATTCTTGTGAGAATGCCATGATTGGCGTTTTTATGGTCCTTCGAGATAACTCTGTAGAAAAAGTAGTTTCTTAAAAGTGAATTTGTAATTCTTTTATAAATTTACTAGGAATTAGCATGGCTAGCATGTGGGCTGCGGATGGACTCACGCGTATGCAGCGGCCCAGATTCTTCTCGTTGGATGTGGTTCAAGCGCTACTGCCTCTGTATACGTACGGCTGAAGGTTTGATTCGCCGTAGCGCCATACCGATGCCGTTTTTAGCTGACGTCCGTAAAAGATTGTCGGAATTGGGCGTTTACAATACCGAAGAAAACAGCACGGACGCTATATATCCCTGGGAAGACAACACTAAGTTCTCACGGCAACACGACGAGCAGTTGCTACATTGGGTCAACAAGTAAGTTGAAGCGCTGAAGGTTTTGTATAACCTTAAATATGATATGCAAGATGGATTTTTGAGACGGTTAGTAAGGACAGATCTTCAGAACCTTAATCGTTATAGTAACATGAAAATGTGTTTAGGAGATCTTCCAATAATTTTAAAATACTCTGAATTGCATTTACTGATTGAAATACCGGCTTAGTGCGAGGCTGACTCGCGTACAAAGGGTTCCGTACAAAAAAATATTTTTGTTCTATGAGAGCCTCCTTAAGTATTGCTTTTGTTCTGGTTTTTAGTTTGTTGTTGAAGCGGCAATAGAAATACATCATCTAAAAATTTAAACTGTATAACTTTCACGGTTTACGTGATACAGCCTGCTGACAGACAGCGAATTCTTAGTAATAGATATAGGGTTACCGTTGCACCTTTTGGCGCCGGTACCCTAAAAATACAGGCGGTTAAAAATATTATACTCGTAGTACAAAAGAGTGTGTGATTACTACAAATGACAGAATTCCCATACATTTTGTACCAATTCAACTTAGAGCGATTTTTATTGACAAACGATTCTATTATGCTTTGTATGACTGTATTAAAATTCTCTTTCCTCCAGCGGCATCTCCCGCGTGGTCTTGAATTATACATAAAAACCTTCCTTTTGTACCCTATCTATGAAAAAAACCGCATCAAAATCCGTTGCGTAGTTTAAAAGATTTAAGCATACATAGGGATATAGGGACAGAGAAAACGACTTTGTTTTATACTATGTAGTGATTTCGTTAAACATAGGCGTCCAGAAGACTGGACTGGCTGGTGGAGCGGGGGCTCCTTAGGTTGTGCCGTGTACGGTTGGGGCCACAACCATCGCGGACAGTTGGGCGGCGTGGAGGGTGCCAAGGTCAGAACTCCGACGCCGTGTCACGCGCTCGCCGCCCTCAATCCGGTCCAGCTTGTGGGCGGAGAGCAAACTCTATTCGCCGTCACACCGGACGGAAAGGTTTATGCCACCGGTACGTACACGTGTTGTTAAATGGAGAACGTAATATAATATTACACACATTTTTGAAAAGTATTTCAATTCAATCCTAAGGTACTAACATACCATTGAAAAAATATATATGTATATCCAGTCAGTAGTGTCATAAAATATCATCTCAACTTTACATTTTCAAATTTCGCGCCAATTGGACGCCATGTTGCTCTGTAGTTGTAACGCCAGTTGGTTTTATAAACAAACACGTTGCTGTTGGTTTCTTGCATTTTTATGGACTTTTTATCATTGTCAGATAGTCGTTAGAAGATAACTTACATCAATGTTTTACATTCCATTGTAAATTTGGTAAATTTGGGCGATCTCCCCTTACAAAACCCTGTCCCATGGTGTTATTTTAATAAAAAAATATCTATTTTTCTGCAATAAATCTTTTGAAAGGAAAAATATATTTTTATTCATTATCACTTAAAAATTCTATGACATGGATTTTCGAGTCGTGACGTCACATTTCAATAAACATAATATAAGTACCAGTTGCATCCATAACAAATACGTTGACGTTTAGTTTATTGTGGACTATGCTCAGTCATGACATTTACGTTTATAAGTAAGAGTCATAATGTATGTGATGTCAATTATCGTGACGAGTTGCCAGATTGCCAGTTTGTTAAATGACCAAGCATAGCCTGGCGAAGGCGTTTGCTTAAGGTTACAAATACAGTAAATATTAAAAATATATTTATTGCTAACTTAAGCTTTGTGATGCCTTATTTTATCCTTAAGAATCACTGCATATTGTAAAATTTAAATATTAATTCTGCTTTTTCCATGCATCTGGCCAGATTGTTCTGGTAACACTGAAAGAGGCAGCGAGTTATGACGTCACGTATAATGAGCGGCATTTCGAATCACTTTATTTTTGATATAAGAAATAATAATTTTAAATGTGATAAAATATTTTTTTACTAATTTATTTAATTTATCACACCGTTTTGTCACTCCATTCCGAAACTATTATATTCCTTTATTTTATATGTACAGGATACGGAGCAGGTGGACGTTTAGGTATCGGCGGTATCGATTCCGTTTCCCAGCCAACACTGTTAGCCTCTATTCAACATATTTTTATAACAAAGGTAGGTTGTAATAAGGTCTTATACATTATAACCTAGATTTAACTGAAAGTAAAGTTTGTAACGTTTGATTTTCATCATTAATGCTATGACATATCTTTTTCTCTTTCTTTATAAGGTTGCTTGCAACTCTGGCGGTAAGCATTGTCTTGCTCTGTCGTCGGAAGGTGATGTATACAGTTGGGGTGAAGGTGAAGATGGTAAACTTGGGCACGGGAATCGAGTGTGAGTTTTTGAAATATAGCGTAGGCGATTATGTTCTGGGCGTATATAATATACCTATTAGCAAGTATGCTGTTGCATTAATTACATGACTATTAAAAAGTTCTACTTCTAATAAGTAACTATAAGTATCTAATAAGTAATAACCCAACTGTTCTGCTAAATATTTGTTAACAATAACTTCGGTTCACAAAAACTCCTTTATGTAATATGTTTAGATATAGTGCCGGTTTTCAGATATAATTCTGTTTCCTTTGTAAATAGTAGAAATTTAACTATTCGCTTTCTAAGACACAATTTACTATGTATGCTATAAGCTTATACTAGTTTAACTTACCTTTGTCTACAAGAGAATGTTTTATTGCGATAAGTGCGCAGACTATTTTATGAAACATTACTTGTACAATAAAATATTTATTAATTCATCCATAGGAGCTACGACCGTCCTAAGCTAATAACAGCGCTGTCCGCACTAGAGGTAGTTACGATAGCTTGTGGTGGAGCACATTCGGCGTGTCTCACAGTACGAGGTCGCATTTATACATGGGGCAAAGGTCGCTACGGTCGTTTGGGACACGGAGATTCTGAAGATCAACTCGTACCCAAACTGGTAAATATTGCAGTAGAATTACATCAAAAAATATGTAATCCTGTGTAAGAATTTTTAATGTCTCTTATTTTCTGCCATTCTCGAATTGTTAAATATGTCATATCCATATTAAGTTACCGTCATGGAGTCTCTGAACTATATACTAAGCGTTAATACTCACTAGTTTCATAAATTATATTTAGCAAAACTATATATTGTTGTATACAGTATAAAGAAACTTTGAAGAGCAAAAACTGGTGCTCGTATGTAATGACTTCAACAATAATTCAATTGATTAAATAGTATTAATTGTAAAATGTCACATCTATCTTTGGTGGTTTTTAGGTGGAAGCCCTAGCGATGTATCGTGTGGTCGATGTTGCTTGCGGATCTGGTGATGCTCAAACACTCTGCATTACAGATGATGATAATGTTTGGTCTTGGGGAGACGGAGATTATGGCAAGCTGGGTGCGTAGATTCGACTCGCTCTAACGACTAATATTATAAAGCGGACAGATTTGATTGTTTGTTGGCATCGAATAGGCTCTGGAACTACGGGACCGATTTTAATTTTTTTTTCACCAATTGTGTTACTTTTTGAGCATAGTTACTGGAAGTTGATTTTAATAAGTCGGTACTTTTAATTTCTATTATATGCAGTATGGTTTTAATTCTAATCAATTATTTGTCAATGTGTCAAACCTAACTCTCGAAGGATCTGGATTGAAGTTAGATAGATTTTGTTAAATATTTTGTAGGTCGAGGTGGATCCGAAGGTTGCAAAGTACCGATGAGAATTGACTGTCTCAAAGGGCTGCGCGTGATAAAAGTCGAGTGTGGCTCACAGTTCTCTGTTGCTTTGTGTCAAGGTGGCAGCGTTTACACATGGTATGATAATTTCTTTAATGCACTAACATTTTCATCCGTATGTTGTTAGTTATAGTGTAATTGATTTGTTTATAAATAAAACTTCATAATTAGTATATTATTCGCTCTAATTCTGCTTGTTGCATTGCTCACTTACATTAACTTCGTCATAATTTGAGCAGCAATTATCCGTGTAACGATAGTCAAGCATGATTAAAATAATATACATTGCCCCTCTCACTCGGAACACCCTGCAAGCCTCTATTATTATTTGTTATTGCTAACGTCTAAGGGCAATATTGCATACCTGTACCCGGATTAAATTTCGTACCTTTATTAAGTATTTCTAACACAACACTCAATAGTCAACTCATTTCTAATACTAAATGGTATTCAATTGAAGGGGTAAAGGTGACTACCATAGACTAGGACACGGCAGCTACGATCACGTTCGGCGCCCAATGCTTGTCACTGGAATGCAAGGGAAAATGATCGTGTCTATCGCTACTGGTAAGTTGAATAACTTTATATGTACCTAGAGAAAATTTCATAAAATTATATACCTACATTGCTTATCAGAGTAGCCGATGTACTCGTGTTTGGTAATAGAAGGATCGGTGCATATTTGAACGAAGATACGTCGCGTGCCGTCAGTTGCGAAACATTCGAACTATCAAAATTTGATCGTTAGCGTGTTTATAAAAATATGCATCACTACAAAATCCTATCTTAATTAGTTTCTACGTCCTAAAATTAACCTCTGTGGTTTAGTTAAGTTTCATCGAAACTATCGTCGAATTATATGTCGAATTTCGCACACCTACGTAATAAAAAGAGCCCTCATGCAAAATTTGCACTTATAGTTTCTGAGATATCATGACGAGAGCGTTAGTGTCCTTTTGCTTTTACATATATAGATGACATTTAACCGTGCACATTCGGGAGATGATCCATGGCATACTAATGCATGTTTCCTAGAGAGACGACAGCAGATCGAGTTTAATATGTAACCAGATTACATAATTTGAATAAAATATGTATTTGGTAAATGTGCTTGGTTAAAAAAAGCTCAAAAGTTTGCGTTTAATTTCATATTTCATAATCGTATTATGAATGTTTTAGGGAGCCTCCACTGTGTCGCGTGTACAGACGCAGGCGAAGTATACACGTGGGGAGATAACGATGAAGGGCAACTTGGTGATGGGACTACACTCGCTGCTCAACGTCCGAGATTATTAATGGCTCTTCAGGTATGATTGAATTTTATATCGCCATCAGTTTGCGTACGTATAATACATGTCTCTCTCTAAGTCGGTCTCTCATGTATGAGGATTATGGTCATTATCAGGGTTGTATCTGGTGTGAATGATGTGTCTACATTGGTTCCCGTCCATCGCATTTGTTACGACAGTGTAGAGTTTTAAAAATGATGAATAGTTCACCTGCCTTGCGATTCTATAAAAATCCAAACCATGATTCAATTTCAAAAGCTTTCGTAGCATAAGTGAAGTTAGTTTTTAAATGATATAGGAATATAATATCTGAGACACATATAATCAATCTATTTTGTTTTGTATTTTTTATACAAAAAATGGAATAAATAGAAATTCTTTACTATATGACGTGAATTCGGACACATGAGTGAATTATTATTCAGGTTCGGATTTTTACAGAATCGCCCTGCTAATTGGTCTATCTAGTTGATGAGCGACCGCGTTATCTTTAACGTTCGGTGCTTCCCAACACAATTACTTTTTCTAGACTTTCATCGCTTCTGCGCATTGTGCTTCCAAAATATGCGAGGATGCGCTGTTGTGATTGGGTGGATAGCACATTCCATAGTTTTACCCCATTAAACGCAGTCAAAGGTTTTTGTGTCATAGTTGATAAAGCATAGAACCACCGGGTTGCTGAATTCTCTGCTTTTCTCAATGATCAGATGTAGACTCTATTTATTTAGAGTCGTAGCGACAAGAGCTGTCAAACTGCTTACCTAGAGATGTATGAATATATATCGTCCGACTCGAGACAATGGTCTCATAACATAAAAAATACACACTTGCTGTTCTTCAACTCGTATCTAATATATTCTTCTAAGGTTTATGCGTAATGTTTATGGACACATTTTTCTTTAATTATTATTGAAGATAGACAATATTTAATCAATTTACAGACTCGTTTTTCTTGTAAAAAGATCGTAAATTTTAATTTCATGTATACTGTAGGGTAAACGAGTGACTAGAGTAGCGTGTGGGAGTGCTCACACTGTAGCACTGTGCGTGGAGGCAGCCAGGGCGCCTCGGCCTCCGCCCCCGCCGCCTCTGGAGTGCCACCTGCTAAGGGACCTCGCCCCTAGTCTCATCTGCAATAGACTGGTAAGTATAAAAAACTGACCAACTGCGAGTCTGACTCCCGCACAAAAGGTTTCTTACCATTATCTATAAAAATGGCAGAAAAACATGTTTGTTGTATTGGAACCGCCTTAAATATTTACTTTAACTTGTTATTTAGTATTTGTTGTTATGTTATAAAATTTCAACTATCTATCTATCATGTCTATATCTATATATCATGAGATATAGCCAGGTGACAGACTGACAGACGGACGTACAGTTGAGGTCAGAGATAATCCTCAATAGATGCCGTATGAAAGACAGCAAGCTGTAATCAAACATCTACGATTCTGCATAGATTGTTTTAACAAAAGTAGTAATATACGTGTGAATACTCAGTAGCGACCAAGTGTTCGATCTGTGAATTTATGCTTTTCTTTATAATGAAGTAGAGTAGCTCGGTGGCGTAGTGGATAAGCGCCGCGGCACGCGATCGTAGTCGTTAAGCAACTTTCGCAAGGGTCGGTCACGGGATGGGTGACCAAAAAATTATTATCTCGAGCTACTCCGTGCTTCGGAAGGCACGTTAAGCCGTTGGTCCCGGCTGCATTTGCAGTCGTTAATACCCTCCAATCCGCATTGGGCCAGCGTGGAGGGTCATAGCCCATCCTCCTTAACTATCCATAAGGAAGGCCTGAGCCCCAGCAGTGGGGACGTAAAAGGGCTGGTGGTAGTAGAAGTAGTTATTAGGTTAACCATGGCAAGTTGATACCAAGTTGAAACCATGCACATAGTGCCAAATGGTGTCTAGCCCAGAACATCAAATTGGAAGAAAGGTGGAATAACTTTTCGCCAGTAAGATAAATTTTATTGTATTTTTATCTCGAAGAGATCAAGATATAGTGAACATAATATAGGTAACTTTATAAATATAGAGCACGCGTTGATGTCTTATTGAAACCCATCCCTTTCTCTCATTAGTAAAGTTGTATATTTATTTCATTTTGTCAAAGACACGTGCTACACTAGTATTGCTACTTCATGCTTTTTCTAGGTATGATCGATATCGATATTTCCATACGTAAACATTGATTTGCATTGTAACTATTTCAGGAAAAATTTGTTCTTAGTGTACAAATTAGTATAAAAAAATAACAACGAGGTTAATATCCAATATTTGCCAATATATGTAAAGTACCTATGATAACTAGTTTATTAATAATTCATTAATAATTTTCATCTTATTTTTAATACTTGTTAATTATTTAAAAGTCCAAAGTTTGCAACTTTTGATTTTTCGCCAAAATAAAAACGGGTTAGCCGTTTTTATAATATAGTATGTTAGTTAGTGCGTAAATCTTCGAGCTCAAATTTGACCCACTACCAAATGTCCTATAGGTTTGAAATTTTGCATAAACATGTAAGTCAGATAAAAATGCAGTATGATGAAGTCGGAAGATGGTCATAGGAACTTAATGATGAAATGACGCAACTATATCGTGTTTAGGCTCGCTAGATACGTCTTTGTGAGGAATTTTGCACTGGATGCTTTCCAGACCAAGGTCTGGTGATGATGGAGCTGGAAGGAGGTCATAGGAACTTAGCAATGAAATAACGCAACTGCATCGTGTCTGGGCCTTTTAGATCAGTCTTTAACTAAAAAATAAAAATATTATAAAAACCCTAACTAACTAAAACGTAAATAATAATTTTATGGAATTATTTTCTATAACAGTAACAGTCTTAATACATCAATTTTTACGCGCCATAGATTTTAAAGTAAATTATTGTTAGAGAAAACATTTACATAAACTTAGTATTTACGTATTGATATTTTTTTAATTTCACGCGCACTATCCATAAATGAAACAACCTTTAAACGATTTCATCACATTTGTGTTTAGTTTATTGACGTTTCGGACCTTTACAAAAATTTGGTACTGGTGGTGGTAAAATAAATAAGTCGAATGTATGTAATGTATTTTAAAATAATTTAATAAACGCACACGTTGGCATAAAATATACATTTTTTTGTATTGTGAATGTGTCCAATAGTATTGATTTGAAGTTAGCTATACTCTTAAATAAAAAGATAATCAACACCTTAATCTTATATGAACGCGGAACCTGTAAAGGGTATGACGCTTTGTTGATATAGGATGTTTTTGTTCTTTAATTTATTAGAGATTTTGTGGTATCATATATCCTATTTAAAGTAGAAAAGCTTTAGATGACACAAATAACCTATATAAAATCGATACTACAGGTATTGCTGCATCAGTTTTCGGAGTTGGTATGTCCGAATCTGCCTCTGCTGATTTTGGACGGCCCTCTAGATCAGTTGCGCACTCTGTTGTTCTACAGCGTGAAGGAAGCTGCTTTTAGGAAGGTACGTTTATTTTGTTATACAATAATGAATATTGACGATGTAAACACTCATAGTTCCACATCAATATCCGCAACATCCCTAATTTTAAGTGTTTATATTTCATAAAATTATTGGCATATTTTATTTTCACGCATTCTTCTTTATCTTAACTTAATCGCAAATATTAAAATATACGTTAATTATTCTTTTATTATGTAAACTATATAATTTATCAACTATTGATTGGAGAAGTAGATTGATTTTTGGTATATGCATCATAAATGCTCATAGAATGAAAAAAATAATTTGTCTGGAAAGTATTTTTGGATTCAACTGAATATTGTTTATATTGGTTGTGATATTATTGCTATTCGAATCAAAATTGAAAGCAAGGTATCAAAACTGTTTAAATTAATTTGCCTACTATGGATCGTATAATATTCCTTCTTTGGAATCAAATATTTTTGAAGCTTTCACTTCAATTCAATAACACAAACATAACCATTCCCTACCTAAATTCCAGAAACAAAAAAATCGGTATAATCAATTTCGGAGGCATGTCCATATTATTGTCTACTAATATTATGACTTAAGATATTGTTTTATTTATTGAATAGTATATAATACAGGAAGTATTTATAACTTTGAAGTGCTCATATCTTAGGCTATTATGGCGACGATGGTAAGGGAACGTCAACATGGTCCCGTGGTGGAGTTGTCCCGTGTGGCCGCTAGGCGGGCGCGGCGCGGCGGTTCAGGGCTAGCGGGCGCGGCCGGCATGCGATCCGTGTTCGGTCAAATGGTGGCGAGACTACCCGCACTAACGCACGATGCGCTCGCGTTGCCTCATCGCGTGTGGAAAGTCAAGTTTGTGGGTGAGTCAACGGTGTACTAGATAAGCGCAGTGGCCCGCGATCGTTGTCGCAAAGCAGGTTTCGCAAGGTTCGGTCACTGGATGGGTGACCAAAAAATTATGTCATGCTACTCCGTGCTTCGGAAGGCACGTTAACCCGTTGGTCCCGGCTGCATTTGCAATCTTTAATACCCTCTGATCCACATTGGGCTAGCGTGGAGTCCTTAACCATCTATAAGGAATGCCTGAGCCCCTGCCGTGGTGACATAAAAGGGCTGATGATGATGAACGTGGTTTGATAAAGGGTGTTAGCATTTCTTTATTTTTGTTGACGACCTCCGTACCCGAGTGGTTCGCACGCCAGTTTCAAGGTGTCGTCATCTATGTAAATAAATATTTCATTAATATCAACTTGTATATTGGTTTTGCATCCTGAGCAATGCATGTGAAGTTTAATACCCTTTTTTAATGCTAACTAGGCGAGAGCGTCGACGATTGCGGCGGCGGTTACAGTGAGAGCATAGCGGAGATGTGCGAAGAGTTGCAGAACGGGTCTCTGCCGTTACTGATGGCGACACCTAACGGACGTGGAGACGCGGGCGCCTCTAGGGATGCGTTCCTATTGAACCCGACGGCTAATACGCCGTTGCATCTCAATTGCTTCCGTTTTCTTGGTGAGATTTTATATACTTACATAATTTTTTATTAGTTAATGCCCTTTACACACTTCTTCAAGCATTATGATTATATAAGGTATGATAGGAGAATCATGAGAGATACATTATTTTAGGTACCTAGAAAAAATAAGCTAAATTAATCTTGCTTTACATATGAGTAGCTCGGTGGCGTAATGGATAAGCACCGTGGCCCGCGATCGTTGTTATTAAGCATCTTTCGCAATGGTCAGTCACTGGATGCGTGACCAAAAAATTATTATCTCGAGCTACTCCGTGCTTTGGAGAGCACGTCAAGCTGTCTGTCCCACCCTTCTTAATCATCCATAATTTAGGCCTGAGCCCCTGCAGTGGGGACGTAAAAGGGCTGATGATGTTACATATGAACTAACTCTTTTGTCTTAGAGATCCAAACAGAGTAATAATATACGCACTAATAGAAATAGAACACTATATAGTAATAAGGTTTAGATCGATAGGCGCACGACAGTGCAGTGATTGAAATACTCGACAGTTGAATGAATCTGTTGTCTTGTTTCGTGTAGGTGTATTGATGGGTATCGCTATTAGAACTGGCTCTCCCCTTTCGCTATCTCTCGCTGAGGGCGTTTGGCGGCAACTTGCCGGTCAACCACTGAGACCTCAGGATCTTGCCGAAGTCGACAAAGACTTTTTACCGGCTCTACTCTGCATCAGAGATATGACACCCAATAATAAGGTACAAATTATTTCAGAGTTTAATAAATTTGGTTGTTTGTTATATATTGTTTGTATATCGTCTTACTATTATATTATTCTATTAGGAATTACAAAATCTGGAATTGCCATTCTCAATTCCGTCAGCGGCCGGTCACGAAGTGCCACTGTCTACGCGTCATAAAAGAGTTACACCAGAGAACAAGGATGAATATGTCCAGTTAGCCTTACATTATAGGTAATTTATTGTTTATCTATTTCCCTTGGTTACGCCTTCACACGTGAACGACTGGACTGATTTCGCTAATTCTTTTTTGTTGTGTTTGTTGTTGCCAGGAGATTTTCTGTCCTCCTTCTCTTATGAAAGAAAAAATAAGATAATAGTATGGAAGTTTTTAAAATTTAAGAATATTTAACCACCATATAAAATTATTTGTAATCTTATCTCAGTGCTTTGGATAATATCTACTTTTTTAATATAATCTTATAACGTTTGACATAGAATTGACAGAATGAGTGCTACAAATATGGTGCACATATTAAAATTTATTTGACTATACAGAACAACGTCTGTCGGGTCATCTTGTAATAAATAAAAGTTAATTATGCAAAAAATAATCTGCATCTACGTTTATCGCTTTTTGTTATTTAGGAATTTTTGCATTTGCGTAATAGGTCTTACTTTACCGCATAAAAGTTATATAGTTATATAATATTCTAATATTTTGGTATTGTAGACTGCATGAGTTCGATGAGCAAGTGCGTGCTGTACGCGATGGTATGTCACGCGTGATTCCCGCACCCCTTGTAGCTTTATTCAATGCTACCGAACTAGAGACGCTTGTTTGCGGTTCACCAGATATACCTGTACACGCACTACGAGCGTCGGCTACATATAAAGGTAATACTGGCGCCCAACATGGTGCTTATTTTTATAAGTAACTTAATTTAAGCTTTTCACTTTCGAGTCGATGTCTGAAAATGTGTCGCTTATCATTGATCGCGTAATGTAAGAACTTAAAAATATGTAAAATTATATTCAACCTTGCATACTCTACGGATACTCAGACTCCAACAACCATATGCTTAACGAATCTTTTATCACATTTACACTTACCCTTAATACAGTATAGATATTTGCGTTACGTGTCCTTATAAAAAAAACGCCTAACGCCTTGGCGCCTAACGTAGTATTCTTGCGATTCTTATAAATACTACAACTTTAGCCAATCTTAATCATCAATAAGACAACTTAAGAAACAAACTTTATTTGCATGTAAAAAACGTTCCGTTTCTTTGTGTTAACATAGCAACTGTCCCAACGTGGTATTATTACATTTTTTTTATTATAAATGGACCAAACAGTTGTCAACATCACGCGTGCCTTTTCAAATCTGTAGAACTTATACAACTTGTAAGCATTACGAACTTCTGCTTCATCTTAAAGTAAAAGTGGCGCCCAACGTGATAGACGTAGTTTTATAGATTTCATGACTAGTTAGTCGCCCATAAAGATAACTTTAAATGCTTGTTAGGATTTTGACGTTATGAAATATATATACGGTTTAGAGAAATTTATTTATAAATAATGGCGCCCAACGTGTGACCACTTAAGTTATTACCTACAGGTACATTTCAGTGTGGTTAAGGACTTTATGTTAATGGTTCTTTTGAATAATCTGTAATAATCTAATACAGGAATAGAACCAAGCGCACCGTTGGTACAGTGGTTCTGGGAAGTGATGGAAGAATTATCGGGTAGCGAACGCGCCTTATTCCTGCGTTTCGTGTGGGGCCGTACTCGATTGCCTCGAGCCCCACAAGATCCCCGCCAGAGAGATTTCGTGTTACAGGTACAAAATAAACTCCCCAATAACATTCGAAAAAAAACTTCCTATTCGGCAATAAAGTTCTTTTTTGTTATATAAATGACTACGAGTGTTTACTAGGGACTGTAAAAGGTTTTCTTTTAATCTTATTGCTGTATAGGTTCTCGACAAGTACCAGCCCCCTGATCATTTTCTACCGGAGAGTTACACTTGTTTCTTCCTTCTCAAGATGCCAAGATACTCGTGCAAGTCCGTTCTACGTGAGAAGCTTAGGTAAGTTAGAATATTGGATATGTCAATTTATTCATATGATAGAATACGGATTTAATTGAGTAGTTTAAATAGATAAATATTTTTAAGCGCCATTAGAATTGTTTTTTTTTTTAATATAATACTTTCTCGACACTTGTATTATTATGTTGTCTACTTCATATATTCCTGCCCTTGTCCGATCAAAACTTTGAAGTAAATAAGTATATATTATATAATATTTCATGTTATTCTTAGGATTTTAACCTATTATATGTTAGCAAAAAAAATATTTTAGGTATCATTTCTATTGATCAATATTGACTTATGAAATTTATAGATACGCCATACATTTCTGCAAGAGCATTGACACGGATGAGTACGCACGCGTGGCATTAAGTGCTGCGGAACGTGTATCTTCGGAAGAGTCTGATTCTGAAGGCGAGCCGCCTGCGCCTGCGCCGCTACCACCGTTGTACTCGTTGACTAGACCACCCACTTGGCTTTAAACTTTGCATTTCGGATTGAAGGTTCATTTTTCTTTGCATATCTTTGTTTACATCGAATGCGGGCCGTTTATGTCATTTTCGTTGATATTGAAGGCTTAACGTTTTAATAGACCCGTATTCTGCAGAAATGTTACTACCCTCAAAATCATATTTAGTTTATGGAATGACATAACCAAGCATGTCACTTGATAACATCCATGTTATACTTGTAATTGCTTTGTCAGTTGGTTCATTGCAACAAAACTTAACTTTAAGGCAATCTAAGGCAGCTTATATTTTGAGTGCATGCAAAATTGTTAACACACAAATATGACCATGAACACACATATCTTTGGTCGGCGCTATAAAGGTGTTAAGTCAAAATCATAATTTTTTCAGGAGAGCAAAAAGAAGGTTTCATAAATTTCCACAGAAAGACTGGATATGAATGTAATTTCAAAATAGTTTATATTTCTATTAATACACGTAGAAGACTTATGCAAATTGACCATTCGAAAGGTTTTTTTTTCTATATGTTACTATTGACATAAGTTATTTTAACCAAAAATTTACTTAACACCTTTATACATGTCAATAAAATACAATAATACTCAGGTAACATCAGTTTTTGTATTCTTATGAGTCTCAGAAATATATAATATAGGTTAATTTTAATACTCCGTGTCATATCTCATCATCTATATTTCGATATTTAAATAGTTGCTTTCATTAAAACTAAAACCATAGATGATTATTGAACTTCCTTATATTGTAAATAACAATATAAGATAATGTTGCTCGTGATGATACGTAGCTCGATTTTTCAATGGTGCACTGTTGTGATAATTTATTATTTTTGTTTAATTATGTTTATGTTAAAATCTGGGAATAGATAAAAAGGTTGGATGGAGTGTGGCCGTGAATTCAAGTGTTGTTTATTTTGAAGTGTATGCGTACAGGTCGACATAGGAATTCGCACTTTAATCCAATGTTATTAAATGCGGAATTTCTTTGCGAACGGAACGTATTAAGCGTGTCGTCAAAAGAGATTAATTTAAATAAAATAGAACCATTTTTAATTATTCTAGTATAAAATAACACTATTTATTTATATCAATGTGTCTATATATGTTCCTATCTCTTATTATTTTAGCAATAAGACTGACTGGATGTTAACAATGTTTGTTTCATTAAGAATTAAATATTAACGCCAGATAAATGACGGATGCTATAGGAAAATTTTAAAAAGCAACGTATAACCGTTTTGTATTGCTATAATTATAATTTTGATTAAAAGTTGTTATATTTTATCAATTTTGCATTCAAAATGCTATACTGAAAACTATTCTTAATAAAAAAAATACTTAAAAAATCCTTGGTACTCCAAGGTGGGACTCGAACTTATGATCTTTCGCAATCCAATGTTGAGTCGCCTGGATTGCGAAAGGTTATGGGTTCGTATAACATCTCAGAATGCCAGGGACATAGTGGATTTTTTAAGCATTTTTCATTAAGAAGTATAGTTTTGCTAAGTGCAATAGTTGGCTTGTGAACTTATAGTTTGGATACGATTTTTGCAGTCTGATTTTGAAGCGACAATATGTGAATGTATATCCCCTTCACAAGTACTTTAGCTAACTTAGGATCAGTCATTGAACGGATTTCTATTCTCAATAAAATCTCGAATTCACAAAAACATTTATCGTTACCTACTAAAGTTACATAACGTAAAGTGTTTAAGGTTATTTGTGTTCACATTTGTGCATCGAAAGCATTCCATCCATCGCAGCTTTGATATTATAATGCTATAAAAAATAGTAATGTGAACGTTTTGTGTGTTTAACTTGCTAAGTAGAATATATACAACGAGATGGCGACACTGGTACATTCCATGTGTTTATTGTCTATTGCTTTTCAGACGTGCGAATGATAAAATCTTGTACACTTTTCATTTACTATAAGTACCTGCACAATACTGTTCATGATTCTATATCGAACAACATCACAACAAACATATCAGGAATCTGTACTCTGTAGTTTGAGATTATTATAGAATTATAACCAATGAGTTATATACCATAAGAATTTGAAATAATAATAGTTATGAATTCTGTAGTAGGTATTCATAAACAATCATTATTTTTATCGAAATACATTTTTAAATCAGATTAAATGGGAAATATTTTTAAATAGTCTACGTAAATATATAAATTCTGAAACATGGTAGGTAAAATTACATATAATATCGGCTCCAAAGTTATCTTTAACCAAATATATATCGGCGTGTTTGAAGGCTGGTTTTTAATTAAAGATTGGAGGTCGAGAAGTTTCAAACCGGTTTTAGATGTTATATCATGGTTACCGTACTTCACGATTTGGACAATCCACATGTCCTTAGTCAGAACAAATCAAACAGTTCTCGATTAAATAAAACGATAGCGTAAGAGAAGAGTTGAAAGGGACAAACGTGAAAAGTTGGAAGGGATAAAATGAAATTATTTATTATTTTAAAATTTCTATACTATTGTATTGTAAAAAGTATGATCATGTTAATCATACTACTAGTTCGAGTTAAAATGACACCTGGATCGAAACTTGATACCCCCGCGCTTTCAATAGCGACAGCATCACAGTTAGCGTTTTATATTGCGATGGTTATTGTTTTATACGCATATTATTAATTAATGAAAATTCTCTTTCTGCTATTGTTATTGGACCTTTTTAAAGTGATATGCATGAAATAGAGTAATAATTATAGTAACGATAGCGTAAAAATTTACTCAGAATTATTTAGTTTTGATTTCTCTAATAATGTCATCAACGACACCAAATATTAACTTTAGTACCTTAGTTTACTTTTAGATATCTTACTTAACTATTTGTCACTTCGAAATCTACTAGTGTACAGTAGAGTAGCTTTTATTAAAATATTAGTATGTGTTTTCCCATGTAAGTTTGATATACCTATTGTCAATCTGAGTTTGATAAAAGATCGCGATATTTTAATCAGAAAATATAACATTACTAAAAGTAAAAAAAAATGTTTAGCATGTTTTTCGCACAAACTATATTCTTGTCAGGATATAAGTAACCATATAATAAAAAATATGTATGATTGCAAGTGATAGTTATTTTTTTTGTCCTGGGACCCACAAATTGTCTCGTCAATTGTCAGGTGTCATGTTAACTCGGACGAGTAGTATCGAAGACCTTTAGCAAAAAGGTACAAATACAGTACAACCCCCGCAAATCCGACAAACGTTTTGCAAGGAGGTGTTGATAATTATATTTGCCGGATTACATGGTACTAGAGTCACCCTTTGCAAGCTCGAATATTTATTTTTGAATGGAATACCTTCTAAAATGATAAAGTCCTGTGCACGCCGAGTATTTTAAATGCTAATACAGACGCGCGTCGACTACGCATTCAAAAATGTGGTGTGCACAATATATAAGAAGAAAACCTATTATTTCTCTATAATGTGTTTGAATATACTTTATCTATGTGGAAATACCGACATAACCGTTTGTCACGTCGGTACGTATTGGTGTCGTATTGTAAGATACTGAACTAATAGACAGGAGCCGAATGAGCTAAGCTCAGATCAACTGTGTAATTTTTGCATATATAATTTTTTTGTATTAATAGGTATAACATGTGAAATGTAATGGAAAATGCTACATAATTACCTACTCAATTCTTATACATTATAGGTACCTTATTATAATGAACAGGTACATTAGGTCTATATAATTATCGTAATGTAATAAGCTTTGTCGTCACCATATTCAAGTATTATATTGATTGTTATTTGGTAAAGCCTTAGTCCTATTTTACGCTTCGCTTCTAGTTATTATTATTGGGTGCTAGTGCTACACAATTAGTATTAAATTTTGTACTGAATTATTAATAGTATATATGATATAATTAATATATATTTGAAAAAAAAAACATAATATCATATGATGTGTTGATATCATTATGTAATAGTCTTGACTTGACCAGTATGTTTTGTAAACTTTTAAAATAGAACAAGAGAGGTTCAGAAATTATAATTCCAATTATATAAAACAATGGGTCCCAATTCTTTTGTATTGTGTCTGTGGTGTTTATAATTGTACCCCTCTACAAAGTAAACAAATAATAATTTGGGTTTAATGTTATTCTATAGTCATATAATTAAAACAACATAATTATAATCCTGGATTGAGTTAATTTCTGTTGCCTGTTGCTATTTACAGAATTGGAAAATAATTTTGACAGGATTAAAACTATGTTTAGTTTAACAGAATGCCACCATTATCCATTTCTAAACATTATATTTTAATGCAGCACTCTATGGACTTCTATGTAGCTGCTCTGTTATAAACTTTATAATTTGGTTGCATTAAGGGTGATGACATGAGATATTTTGTATGCCCTATTATATAGAAAAAAAAGTACATACGAATACTAATGTGGTGGGGATGGAGGAGGCAACCTACTGTTTGTCGCTCTCGTTCCACACTTGGTGATAGGTGGCTTCATAATAATGTTTATTTTTTTATCTTGAATAACATAGGTTTTAAAAATTACATTACAAAAATTACATAGGTTTTTTTTTATCTTGAATCTTCTGAAAGATGTAATTTTTTTAACATCTAGAAACTAATATAATATACAACATGTCTCAAAATCTAACAATAAATTATCATGGAAGCTAAAAATATAATAAGGGTTATTAA